CATACTATATTCCAACGAAGAAGAACGAACCGTGGACTAAACCATTTTGGAGGAGAGGTGGTAATTGAAATGATTAAAAGTAAAATATTATGCGACTTTGGTTGAGCTCACATGCATTAGTAATATTATATATATATATATACATGATCATTTTGTCATAGAGCCTACTGGGGAGCGTATGGGCCCTAATGGGCTGTGGGCCCCTAGGATCGTTCCCACCTTTCCCCCCAAACCGACGGCGCTGATTATTAGTCGGTTGACCATATTAACCTCAAATGCGGTGACATGAGCATTTAGATGTTGATGATGACTCACGGTGAAAATCGTGAGCCTTGGTCAAACGGCGTGTCCGTGGCGGCCCTCTGAACTTTAATACTTCGCCATGAAAGAGCAAGTGCTGTCCCCCTGCGGCACTCGGCCTCAAGCTTTACATGTTGGATCAGAGTCCTGCCCTGATGACATTCTAATGCCAACATCCACTCACAGTGTCACCTTCTGGAAACGGGAAAGTACACATTTTACATTTGTATTTGCTATGAATAGCCGGTTAATCATATTAACCTCAAATGTGGTTCAAGTTATGATTAGGTGATTTGTCCAGTGACAAATCACCTAATCATGTCTTCCACAACCCTGACATGGACCACATCTTTAAACAGAAAATTTGCTGTTGCAAGTGATTTATTTATTTTTTTTAAAACGCTAGGTGGCAAGTCACACATGCATGAGTAATCAGAGAAAATAATGTCACCACAGAGTAAAGCACCTTGAATGAACATGATTTTTTACTATGAAAGATGTTATCAGTCTGATTTGTACTCCTACAAGGGGGTGTGTAGGTTTTTCACAGGGAAGCCCCAAAACTCAAAAAGAATCCTGAACCTGTGTGGATTTTCCTGTGACCGAGTGGGCAGAGGAAACTGTGAAGCTGATCTTTATCTCAGGAGTCTAATAAAAGTACTCCTCGAAAGATGGATCTCAGAAAGTTTCGCATCAGAGCCTGCTGTTGATCAAAAGCCTCCAGTTGTCATGGATTTTCGTGCTGGTAAGCATCTTCTTGAAGTGCGGCTCAAAGTCCCGCAGCTCGGTTTCGTGCGGCTGGAGTTGCGCAACATTGAAACTCTGCAGCGGTGGCTGCAGCTCAGATGTCTCAGATTGTCTGTGTGTGTGTGTGTGTGTGTTATCATTTAACTCATCTCCACTTTTGCTCTTTCATGTACAGTCCTCATCTTCCTGTGCCTGCACATTGCACATGCATCCTGCAGTCCTGTCATCGGAGACAGAACCAGGGCCATGAACGACGCCATCCAGGACATACGGCAGAACGTAAAGAGCGCGTTGGACAAACTGGTGAGGGTTTTGATGCTTCGTGGTGGAGGGATGAAATGTTTTCTCAGTGATTCGGTTTACGTTCATTAAGATATTGTGCCTTAAAAAAAAAAAAAAAAGCTCTATGGTTGCTCAATACATGGCATCAGAGAATTGTAGGAAGATTAGTGTTGGAGCGCATTTGTTCACTTTTGATGTTTGCGCAATTTTCACATATTCTGAGGAGAAAGGCTGTGCAGGGCCTCCGATTGGCCCACAGTAGGTCCGCTGCAAACCAGGTTCATTATTTCCTCATCCAGAAACTAGCCAGTGCTCCAGAACAGAAATCATTTCTTCATTGACATACAACTGATGCATCCATTTAGATTATTGATCAATTCATTTCTAAGCAAAAATCTCCCATAAAAAGTGGATATCTGCTAATTCTCCAGTTTTCTATGGTGCAGTAAGCTCAAGATATTTTTTTTTATTTTTTTTTTGCGTTTTTGGCAGTTAAACAATTTTAATATGGGCATTTTCACTGTTTCTGACATTTTTCAAAAGCAATAGACTGTCGCCTATCCAACAGTCTACCATAATCTAAAGCTATTTAAGAAATACAATTATTGTTAGATGTATTAAAACTGATAAAGACCATTGCTTACCCAAAAATCTACAATAATTCGTCATTAGTGATGACATTTTAAAACAATGTCAAAAGTACTAAATTTAATAAATGATCAGTTGTTGCTTGTCCAATGATTTTCATCGTTATTCTTTAGTTATTTCATGAAATAAAAATGATTATTAGATGTATTAAAACTGAAAATTAATCAATTAATGCTTGTAAACAAGGAAAATAGTATTACTTATCCAATAATCTATTATTTAGTTAAATAAAATCTATGATGTATTATCATGAAAGATAGGAAGACTGAAAAAATAATAGATTATTGCTTGTCCAATAATCTACAATAATCTTTAGTTTTTAATAAAATAAAATTGTCACATAATAAAACAGAAAAATGTAAAATAAATAAATAAATAAATTTGATTATAATGAAACTGATTATTGCTTGTGTAGTAATCTACAATATTTATTTTAAAAAAAAACCCTTAATCAGATTATTTAAAACGTGAAAGATAATGAATTATTGATTGTCCAATAATCTATAAACATCTATAATCACTTTATTAAATGAAATCATTCTTAGCTGTATTAAACTGGAAAGTAATCGTTGGCTTCAGCATTACTTTTGTCCTGTGATGGAACAATGTAGTCATGCCTGAAGTTTTGTGTGTGTGTGTGTGTGTGTGTGTGTGTGTTATTTGGACGACACAGAAATAACGAACACAACTTTACAACAAAGGAGTTCAATGTAAATTTGAACAAGCAGGCTTCAATACTCCAGTTTTTGTACTGACTCACCAACTAAAGCGAGTCATTCTCTTCCAGCCTACACCTGAACAGCTTGCAAACATCTCCTGCCCCTCCCTGAATGCCACAGAGCTGCTTGGACCGGAGCAGCAGCAGCTCCAACGTCAGCTTCCCTCCATCAGATGCTACTTGGTAAAGCTCGCCGAGCGCATCCCCCAGCTGTCAGAGCTGCTGAGCACAACCAGCCAGCAAATCCAGGATGTGGAGACACCTGACCAGACGGTTGAGAAGAACTGCAGCCTGCCCGTCTTCAACAAGACCGTGGACCGTTTTAGACATGCCAAGTGTCTGCTGCACATCCTGGATGAACGGCTCAGCACAGCAAAGTTTGCATGACTGACTAGTACGAATGTATTTATTTTAAACAGCCTTAAATTATTTAGATAAAATTTTTTAATGGTTTTGAGTGATTGACAAAGCAAGCTTGTACTGCTGAAAGTTATTTAATAGTTCTGATCCACTTATCAGCATCTGATAAGCAGGCAATATTTATATAAAACTTAATATTTATTGAAAAATAAAGCTGGAAGAAGTCAAGATTTTTCTTTTTTCTTGTGTTTATTGTGATTCAGAATCATTTAAGGCATTTTAAAATATACATGTTGCATGTAGACATTTTACAAAGAAAACAAAAAAACACTAAAATGCAGCATAAGAAAATATCTTTTCTTAAAACAAATAAAATACTAAATGTGGGAAGAACTAACATGGGCAGATCCAATCTGCAATGATACACTGTACATCATCCGGTATAAAATCCCCTCATAAAAACAGCAAATAACAGCTGGAAATCCAACCTGGTATGACAAACATTTAAAAGCACTGAATGAAAGAGGAAGAAAACCAAATGAAATCATCACACAAACGCTAAGCTTAAGGTGAACATAGGGGCCTTTTTGTGCTGTCATTCTTTGAAGTAGAGAAAATTCTTTAAAAAACAAAAAGTCAAAAAGGGAAATTTTATCACTTGCAATCATGACAACCATAGCTGCATTCATTGGTGCATTTGAACTTTTTGTATAAATTATTTTGGGGTACACGTGAGCTCTTCATGTGTGTTTTGCAACACTAAATAGTTGTGCATTGAAAAAGTGTTGAATTTTGATCACTGCTACCACCATCTATACACCGACAGGCAAATTAGCCTGAAAGCAAGAAAAATCTCTCATTTAAAAGACACTCATCCACATTCACAAGAAAAGACTGCACGCAAAAAGCTGCACGTCCATCAAAGTGGTGCATTGTGCTACCGTAAACTCAGTTGTTCTGCACAAAAAGAAAGCAAAAATACATATAAAAAAAAAAATCCATGTCTGCCTGAGGAGTGCTGAACCACAAAAAAAACAAAACAAAGAAAAGACAAATCAGCACAGTTAAGGACACTTTGACCTTACAGCTGACATGCTAACTACATCTGCATCGTGTCTAATTCTCACGCCGTCAACAGAGCACAGTTCTCCGTTAACCATAATGTCAGTAACACAACAAATGACCTGTGCGGATGGGTAAACTGCTCTTTGATATGGCTTCTTATGAGTTTCTGTGTGCTGTCTTCATGTGACAGACTGATTGTTTTCTTCTGTCGTTAACACGTTATAAATTAGTGTAACCATGAGAAGAAGAAAAAAAAAATTAAACCACGTGACATAACCTGTACCCTTGTAGTCAACAAGCATTCCTGCAGAGAAGGATCCTGACTTGATTTGTTCAGATGAATGGAAAAAAAAAACATTACGCACACAAGCGTAGCCCTGAGTCACTGACGAAGACCAGAAAAGACCCCTACTGCGCAAAAATCTTTTAACACTGTACATGTGAATATAAATATATTGTGTACTGCTATTTCACTATGCTCCCTATGAGGGCTGTAAGTAGTATTGCTCCACTGTGCTGTGACCTGCGCAGTAGTATCCATGTGTGTAACATGTTAAAGATGACTACTACTGCTGCTGCTGCTGCTGCTGCTGTGTGTAAATTGCAGTTGAAATCACTACAAATGGACACAGTGAGCAAAAGTATGAAGGCAGAAGTTCGGCATGGACGGAAAACCACCAGAAAACCATGCCCGTTAACTGGCAAAATAACTTTCACCTGAGTAATTTAGGGATGGAAAATACAACCAAACTCGCATCCTCCTGGTACTGATTAGGCGCTGACCGGCCCACGAGCCATCAGCTTCGCCATGTTTCAGTCGATGCTCTACAATCTGCTGTGAAGTCTTTCTGGAAGGTTTTCAAGCCTCCTAAAACCATAAACTACGCTAAGAGCAAGTCCTACAAAATCCACATTAATCTCATCTCTTGATGGAAAAAACAAAAGCGTCATATCCAGACATTTATACATCTGAGCAAGAGCACAAAATTAACATTCATTTATTATTTCCCTTTTGAACACATTGTTGCTTTTGCAATAAAAATGTCATTTACTTTAAATATAAATTGTTGTTCACGAAATAAACCACAAGTACCAGCATCCAATAAAGTACGAAGAAGATTGTCACCTCAAGCAGGTGAAAGTAGTAGTTATTTTAAACACAATGTAATAAAAGCCTTTTTTTTTTTTGCAAAATTGTTGAGGTCCTTTCATGCATCATTCCCAACTTTCAATGTACAACAGAGCAAAATCTCTCCCTGCCTTACATTCAGAGGGAACACAAGCCTGACATAGTTTGGATTTATCGTTGTGACCTTGCTCAACAGCTATAAGAACAACTAGTGATATGCCTTTGTTGATGGTTTATGCTAAAGAGGGGCAGGTGGCTTTAGGGGTCACCTCAATTCCTCTGAGAGAAAGACGAAGCATCTGTGCGTGTGGCAGCCTGGACAGCTTCTTCAGGAAGCAGCGATGGATCGGTGAGGATGGACGTAGTTGTGCTCAGCTGGCGAAGAGTACTCAGCACCACTGAAAAACAGGAAAGCGCGCTTTAGTAACCACAACTTGACTATAAAATGGGTTATTTTGATGTTAAGTACTTGAACACTTGGGTCACAGCTAAATATAACATTTCTGATGATTCAGTGGGAATCAAAGTTCGCGGTCCAATAGAATACTGGCATAATCAAGGGTGATATTTAAAAAAAAAAAGAGTGGGGATTTTTGGAGGGAAGGCAAGTTTGAAGAGCACGAAACGCCACCAACACATGTCGTATATGGAACAAATGACTGTTAGACCAACATGGTTCAGCTTGTGGCCTTCATAAGATAACGGTTTTTTTTGCTTTATTGGGGCAGAGAAAGACAGGAAAGTAGGGGGAGAAGAATGGGGGAAGGACCTGCAGCAAAGGGCCATGAGCGGGACTCGAACCCACAACCACTGCGTCTGGGCCATGGGACGCCAGCTCAACTAGGTGAGCTATAGTGGCGCCCATAACGTAAGACTTTATCACTCATTAAGCATACCAGAAACAACATTGTACTGTTCATGGTATGTAGTGCTATAAATACTACAGACGTTGCGGGACAGTCAGTGAAAGAAAACAAGCAGCAGAAGAGCTATTAACATGTATTTAATATTTCATTAGCTTAAATCTGCATTAACATCCAGCAGAAGAGGGTGTCTAACATGAACAATTGTGTGAAGTCTTGTTTCTGCTATTGAAAGTTGACAGCAAAGGTGTTTGTTTCTAAAAATAAAAGGAAAAAAAAAACTTCTTCTACTTCAGTACTGAAAGTGGGTTTGATAAAAATCGACAACCGAAAGAGTAAAACTGTGGGATCTGATGTAAAATGCAAAACCACAGAACAAGCAGCAGAAAGACTAAAACTCTCAGTAAAGTTGAGGGACAGGGCACATCCTCTGAGGCTGAACTACACCCTTCACATCACTCATTTTTTCTTTACATGTATGGAATTACTAACATGTGCAACTTCAATTCTAAGAAAAATATTTCTTTCAGCCATTAAAACTATTTTTCAATTCTAACCGTCATTGTCATTGTCGAGGTACTGTTGTATAATGTGTGTGATGCTGTGAATTGTTCATACTGAAACATGGCACAAAACTATGGAACACAAATAAAAAGTATTACTGATGCACATTTTTTGAGTGATCAGCAAAGCAGCTGACCTTCAGCCTGATTTTGTTGCACAATTTCCTTCGGAAACAACATTTTAGGTTCATTACTTCCAAGGAAACTGTGGACAAATTCGTCATTTACCTTTTCCATGACTGTTTCATTTAACCTCAGTTTATCAGAACGCACGAGAAAAGTGACTTAGGGTTTTTTTTTTTTAAACTAATGATTTGCCTACAAGACAGAGATAGGAATCACAAAATTTTAAGGGAGAGCCCCACGACACATGGAATTAAGAAGCGGGAGTGATAACCTTAATTCTTTGACAACTTTCTGCAGCTGCACAGCCTCCAGCAACCTGCTAAAACTATGAGTAATGATAAACCTCATTTGACGTCACTTTGCATTATCAGATCCTGGAAGTGAAATTGCCAATGTCAGCAACTAAAGCACAATGTTCAGATCGAGTGGGAGATGAAAATAAATAAATAAAATACTACCAGAAAATGTGATAATCACTGCTTCTAGGATTTCATGTATTTTTATTAAAAAATGAGAAGCACTGTTAAATTTCTTGTCATGTCTTGTTTGCTTGCTGACTGAAGAAAGGCAGGAAATTACAGAGACGGTGAGATAAGACGCAGATCATCTCGAGTAAATGAATTACAGATAGTAGCGATCAAACACTCTGCAGCTGGAAAGAAGTCCTCTCCCATGATTGCTGATTCATTTAGCTGCCAACTGATTAGGTGAGATCGTGTGTGTTAAAGAGAAGAAGTGTTTTTACTTACTGGGTCTGAGCACCGGAAGCGAGCAGTGACGATCGAGCCACTGCAGCGTAGTCTGACACAGCTCTGCTCTGCTTGTAGTTGACACCATCCCATTGAAAGACTCAAAGAGTGGCTTGATAATGATGCTGAACTAGAAAACATGATGGTCAAGGATCAAGTATATTGCAGACTGGGACAAATGCAGCTCTGCCTGACCAGCTGTAGGAGAGCCAAACTCAAATCTGTGCTTTTGTGGCTTCTGTTCTCCTGTTTCACTCCACATTTAGTAGTTTGTCTTTCATTTAAAAGTATGCAACTATTAAACTTGCTTCTTGATCATTCAGATATAACTTAAGGGAGACGTTTAGAGATAAAAGCAGTTGTCAAAACATAATCTTTGCACTGTTTCGGTATAACGAGTGCACTGCATGGTGTATGTAGTTCCTCCAATCTCCATCATTAGTGAACTAGAGAAGAGCTGCTGTCTATCCTTTCTTAATTTTCCTCAAGACCCGATGAAAACATTTTGAAATTATACAGTTGTGCAACCATTTCTATCTTCTCCTAAACATAAAAGCATCCCACATCAAAGTGAAATTTTCACACAATACCACGCAGCAACCAGAGTCAGAAGCTCTTTCATTGCAGGATACAATCCAGAAGTTCCAGTTCTGTAGAGTGCGGCTCTTGACATATTCATTAAACTTTTCCTGCATGTGGTCGAAGCGATGCCGCCTCACTGGTACCCCCGTCGCAGGCAGCTGCTCCTGACACACGCTGTTGAGAAGCAGTGAGGGAAGGCAGAAAGGGTTGATTTGTTACATGTCTGTCCAGCGTATGTACATCATACGTTGGGTGACATACATAAGATGCTTTAACATACTTAATGGAAGTGTTGAGCTCCTCTATCTCCTCTCGTAGTCTCTTGACCTCTTCTTGCATCGCCTGCCTCTCCTGCTGGAGCTTCCCGATATACTCCACTGTCTTCTGCAACGTGACTGCATTACTGATCTAAGTGCATAAGACAAGGCAAGACAGGTTTATTTATAGAGCACAATCCATGCATAAATCAAAGTGCTTTATAATGGCAAAGAAATGAATTACAAAGATGACTGAAAAGGCAGACGTTAAAAACATGCGACAAAATCATAGAAATAAAACATAATTTAAGCAATTAAAAGGCAACAACAGTAAATAAATAAGTCTTTGTCATTGATTTAAAGGAGCTGAGAGTTTCATCAGACCTGCGGTTGTCTGGAGGTTTGTTCCAGATATGTGAGGCATAAAAACTAAAAGCTGCTTCTCCATTTTTAGTTCTGACTCTGGGGACAGAGAGCAGACCTGTACCAGAGGTCTGAGCGATGTGGACGGTTCATATGGTAAAAAAGGTCACTGATATACTTGGGCCCTAAACCATTCAGAGCTTTATAAACTAACAAAAGTGTTTTAAAGTCTATCCTCTGAGAGACCGGAAGCCAGTGCAAAGACCTCAAAACTGGAGTGATGTGATCGACTTTGTTTTAGTTCTGGTAAAAACTCTGGCAGCAGCTTTCTGGATCAGCGGCAGTTGTTTTATGGACTTTTTAGTCAGACCTCCAAAGACACTGTTACATTAATCTAAGTGACTGAAGATAAATGCATGGACCAGTTTATCAAGGTCCTGTTGAGATATAAGTCCTTTAATCCTGGAAATATTCTTCAGGTGATAGTGAGCTGACTTTGTAATGGTCTTAATGTGGTTTGGAACGCGAAGGTCCAGATTTCTGGCCTGATCTGTGTTTTTTAATTGTAATAACTGAAGCTGTTTGCTGACATTTATTTGCTCCTCTTTTGATCCAAAGACAACCACCTCAGTTTTGTGCATGTTTAACTGAAGAAAATATAGACACATCCATTCATACAGGTAACAAGTATGTCAGGAAATGAAATATTAGAAGCAAATATGTTGCAAAAACATATTTGGAATCTGTTGTGGAAGTTTTATGCAGAGGCACGGGTACACAGACTTACATTTGACTGTGACTTTAGAGTAGGAACCAGGCCGCAGAGTGTCTTAAAGCCAATATTTATGTTTGATCGTCTCTTTTGCTCAGCAGATATGTGCGTTGTCCTTCGGCCCTGTCATTCATCAGCAGAGGAAATATTACACAGACATATTACACAGGGTGTCATATATATTACAGCGAAAAGAGGAAATACTACTGATGGGTAGTTCAGTCTGTTAATTCATTTGTTATTTGAATTTCAACTTTTTCCATTTACACACCTTAACATATCAAGTGGCATTTCATTGCTGTGCAAAAATGAGCTCTTACATATGAAGGCCCTACATGTTATTCAAATAACAAAACATTTATACTATTTTATTAAGAAACGTTAGCAGACACAAACCTGATTTTGCTCATTCTTTACAAGAGCTGTACTGCTGCTGATTAGTGACTGAGGACTTGGAACCTGATCTAACCCACATGGCGATCCTTGACCGGATCCTGGCTGACTGTGAACTGAAAATAAAAAAATATTTCAAAAAATAAATAAAAAAAAAAACACAAATAAAGGAGCAGCTGGCTTGGGGTTTTGAGGCACCGTCTGGTTAGAATGATTTCTCACCAACAGTAGAGGAAGCTTTCTGATTTTTGCGACTGGAAGAATATGACTTTTCTTTGGGGACAATCGGCTGGGGAGACTTCTGGACGACGTGAAATCCAGGAGTCTGAAAAGAGAGCAAAGAAAACAGATAAAATGAGACACAAGAACCAATGCAATAAATTATGATCTTCATTCATTTTGTAACAGATCACCTTTTGTCAACTGTGAAGTATAAATGCTGCAGCTCTAATTGGTATAAGAAAATGAAAGAATGATGATGATGCTCAGTGAGATGAAAACATACCGCTCCAAGATGAGAAGGAGTGATAACAACACCAGCGTTAGAGACCACATCTGCTTTCAGGGGTGTGGGTGTAACAATTACAGCATTGGCATGACCTGGAAATGGGGCTGAGAAGATTTACATATAGTTGAAACCAGAAGTTTACATACACTGTAATAAAAGACACAAAACCTTTTGTTTGTCTCTGACATTAAATCAGACTAAACTTTTCCTGTTTCAGATCAGTTAGGATTACCAAAATTATTTCTATTTGCTAAATGCCAGACTAATGAGAGAGAGAGAGAATGTTTAAGAGAATTTTTTATTACTTTCTTAAAAGTCAGAAGTTTACATACACTAAAATTACTTCGCCTTCAAACTATTTGGGAAAGCCCAGATGATGATGTCATGGCTTTTGATTGGTAAATTGACAACATTTGAGTTAACTGGAGACACACTCGTGGATGTATTTTAAGGCACACCTCAAACACACTGCTTCCTTTTGTGACAACATGGAAAAATCTAAAGGAATTGGGCCTGTCGGTTGACATCAAACGTAAATATGTTCAGACAGCAGGCTGAAGTGACCCAAATCCGATTTCTTTTGTCCTATGCAACCTGTAACTGATCTTTTCATGACAGTCTGAACAACGCAGATCCACTTAATGATGAATATCCAAATATTTGGCGGGGTCGGAGGGACCACTTCCACCCCTGGGGAGCGCTCCGACAGGGTGGAAGTGGCCGGAACGCACAAGCAGTACTTGGCTGCTGATGACAGTTTAGGATAGCGGTCACACTTCTGTTTCCAACATTGACGGCGGGGCAGTGGCAGATACGCTCCACCGTTACCATCTGTATTTACTTCTGCAAACACTGAGCACGCTTGGTGCGTGTGATGAAATCTGAATTGAGCATTAAATCCTACAGTCTGAACGTAGCCAATCTGTCAGCTTGTTAAGTCAGATAATACGCCGTTATCCTTATTTGTGACACAAAATGTCATGTCGGAGTCAGAATCCAATGCTTTCGGTATGTTAAGGCTATTTTTTATGGGTTCCGCTCATTTTTCCTAAAAACCTGTGGGATAGCAAGGTTTTCGGATTGTTAAGGGTCGGATTATAGAGTCACGACTGTAACTGAATTAGAAAAGCTTGAGCGCTATCTTGTGGTCATTAAGGTGAAGTGAAACAGCTCAACAATCTCTTCTAGAATCAGTGTGTTGATCAAAAACCACAGACCTGTGAGGATGAGGTGGGACTGAGGGAGGGGGTTAGCAGGAGCAATCCTTTGCATGGGCCGGCTTTTGTTGGCACTGCATGGCTGAAAGGGGCGAGGCAGAGCAAACGTCTGAGGGTGGACGGGAGTGCTGGGTAACGCGGCCAAGGGTTGGAGTTGAGATGAAGGAGGTGGAGGTTGTGTGGACATGGAGCTGTAGTCTGAGCTGTGGCTGAAGGTGGTAGCTGTGTTGCTGGGCGTGACCGTGGAGGAGGCTGTGTGTGTGATCACAGAGTGCGCTACAGTCTCATCCAGTGCTGAGGTGTTGTTCAAGGGTGAGGGAACCATGGGTGCTGCTGAGCCCATGTCCTGACCTGGAAGGCACTGTGCCAGAGGATCATGGGAAACGCCTGCTTGATCACTGGCCGTCACCTGCCCAGGAAAAAGGGACAAGTAGTTTTGTACAAAGTCAGTGCCTCCGCTGCCACCTGACCGACTGGTTTGACCAGCCATGGGAGAGGGGATGGGCAGGGGACAAGAGGGAGTGATGTGGTTGCCGCTGAGCTGCATAGAAGACATTAACTGGACCTGGCAAGGGAGGACAAAAGGAAAGCAAAGAAACACTTATATTTATTTCTATAAATATGGTATGACACATAACAGATGCAGTTCTAATAAGGTTCATTATAGATGGCAATTTGTTGTTCCTGCCTGGTTTCTTGTCAGAAATGGCAACATCAAAAGTTAAAGTTTTAATTATTCAAATTAGAACGAGTAATTGACTTTTCTGGCTGCTTAATATTGATACTTCAGCTGAATTTGTACAGCTGCAATCAAACTGCACTTCAATAAACAACAGCTTTCCTAATGTGCCTCCTACAATAACAGGGGAGGGTAGAGGCAATGGCAAAGTGGTGGACAAATATTTGTCCAAGTATCTGTATTTATCTTTGTATTTACAGAGTTCAGGAAGTATACGTTTTAAAGAGGTTTTATAGTACAAAATTATATAGGAAAATCAGCTGGGCCCACACTACAGGAGTTTTAAAATCCGAATAGATTTTGAAATCAGGTTGTATCACGAACATACTTCACAGATATTCTCCTCTCTAATCTTAGATACGCACACAGAAAAAAACAAAAGCAGATGGCTAAAGGAGTCTGAATTAGAAAATCGTTGGGAAGACGCTATCAATAAAGGTTATTGATTCTTCAGCAGGAATTCATGGTGTTAAAATCTTTAGCTAATGTTAGCTAAATCTCTACTTTGTTTACAAACCTGCACACAAATGTGCCTTCAGCGCGGCTCTAATAGCTACTGTAATATTTTCATGCCTAAAAGTCAAACAAAGACCCATATTACATTTACTGTCTCAACAGAAACTCTGAAACACGCTTTTATAGTTTCATCAAAATATGGCTGAATAAATCACATCAGTGGAGCTTCAAGGAGGAAGACAGCATTAAAGAGAAGCTAAATATTTAGCCATATTTTTAGTGACAGTTTGATTATCAATGAATATAAATTTTAATGTTAATCAGTTTGAGCAAGTCATTTATGAAAAGTGCTATGTAAATAAAGTTTAGTAAGATTATTATGTTACATAGATCTTTTGTGTAACTACATTAAGGCAGAAAGATGGTGGAAAATGTGGCGGAAATCCTCAAAAATTTAACAAAAAGCTTAAAACTACGAAAGAAAAAAAAATTCTTCTTGCACAAACTACGATCATGGTGGTGTGTGTTAGGGACCCAGCCTTGGGTCGGTGTTTACCTGTGACTGAGAGCTGCTGCTGGGTAGAGGGGTGACAGATGATGCAGTGGGGGAAACAGGGGGGAAGACGGGCTGACGGAGGCTGTGAAATAAGTCTGGAACAAGAGTCTCTATGTTAGCTAGAGGTTAGTATAACCACACTACTTGTTGTGTTAGGCTAAGCCAACTGCTGCAGCAGAGTTACCACAACATGTGCGCTTAACTCCTGTACAGTGTGCATTATTAGTTTGTGTGGGGCTGCTACAGCTGTGGGTGGTGCCTTGCTGCTACCTTGCAGTGGATCAAACGAGTCCATGAAGTCTAGGTTGGGCTGTAAGGGGATGAGTCCTGGTTGGATCATGTCTGCGTTCCCAGCATGAGCTGTGGAAAGTAGAAGCAGAGGTAGAGAGACCAGAAGGACAACATGCCAGTATTTTGAAAGATACGCAACGTATTGTTGAGCTCCAGCCTTCAGCAGGCCTAACACTGAGATGCTGCATAATTTAGGGAGGTTTGTTACTTGTGACTAACTGAAATATATATATCTTTAAAAAGAACAAAAGGCAAAAACAGGAGCTTAACTACAATTAATTATCAAATCAACTACCAGGTGAGTGAGAAGATACCACAAGTCTAATTCGGAAGTCTTTGCTGTTTAAAAAAAAATAAACATCTGATGATTGTCTCACCAATCTCCCTTGGGTTGGGCCAGGCTATTGGCTGATGCGAGGCCAATGTAGAGAACAATGTGTCTGAAAACTCAGACATCAGAACATCCATGTCAAAGAGGGGGTCCATCTCCATTGGGGCAGGCGGTTCATTATGTTTACGAGTCACACGGCGTGCAGCAGTCTCTTCATCCTGATAAAAGGAGACACGGAGCATGTCTGGAGACACTTCCCCAAACAGCGATAACTGCTCCTCTGGCCCCTTTGAGTATTCAAATGCAACCACCAAGCAAGTTAATGTCACACAAGCATGCAGTGTTGTGAACAGCCAACAAGAGATAGGACCTGACCAAAGCAATTCATGCACTGTGCAAATGTTTTAAGCATTGTAGATGTTTGGATTTTTATCCATCACAATGTGCCATCGTGAAGGCATTTGATTGATCCCACATTCATTGACCTGCACGTCTGAGCAGGAGCTGGTGGTGCAGCAGAGTCTAAAGCCTTCAAGTCTGAGGCTAAGGTTTTCACCCAGAAACTGGTGGATTGCTCCCTTTAGGCTGGGGGCCTTTGCTTCAACTAAAGCAGTTTAAGTATCTTGGGAACTTTTCACGAGTGATGAGAAAACAGAGTGTGACAGAGACAGACAGTCGCTACTCCTTGGAATCAGAAAGAGCCGGCTGAAGTGGTCAGGGTTAGGGTTAGGAGTCTCTCTTTAGAGGTTCTTGGGGAATGTTCAATTGGAAGGAGACCCCAGGGTAGACCCAGAACTTGCTGGAGGGATTTTTTTAAATCTAATTTGACCTGGAAACACTTTTGGATCCCCCAGGACAAAATGGAAAGTGTTGCTGAGGAGAGGGACACTTTGAACCTTGTTAAAGCTGCTGCTACTGCAACCCAACTCTGGATAAGCGGAAGAAACAGGGTGGATGGACGGACCACTGGGCACGACAAAGACTCCAAAGGTATAGCGAGAGTCATTAAGAATTATCTTCAACCACAAGAAGAACAAAGGGTTCCACAACAAATCGTCTGGCCCCACAAAGCCCTGATTTCAATATCAGTGATTCAGTGAGGAGACAAAAACACTGAGACCAAATCCACATTAAAGGCAAAAGCTGGTCAAACCAAGTATTAAGATGTTTTAGGTTTTTTTTTTTATTTTTTTTTTTTAAGATTATTGTAGTTTGTATAAAAATCAGAGCTGTACTTAGAAATAAAAACTAATCATTGCATTTTTGAAAGCATATTCATTTTAGTGCCTGAAACTTTTGCACAGTGCTGTGTGTACATAGTATCAACAAATTTCAGCAAAATTAGGTTAAAGCAGTCAAAAGAACTTGTTTGCAAAGATGATCCTTTAAAATAAATAAATAAATAATAGGTGGGTGATTGGGTTAGTTCCATTAGTATCAACATCTGGTTGAATAGATGTTGATAGTAATGATTGCGTTGAAAAGCCCTCTGGTGAATAAAGCGTGACACAGTTTTGCATACCTTAAGCAAGCTCGATAGGTCGTCATCCTTGTGCTTCTGTAGCTACAAAAAAAGTTGGTGAGTTTTACATTAGTTAAATATCAATGTTTTATGGCCAAAGAAAGAAAAAATGTCGACAAAAAATTTCAGTACCGCTCAAACAAAAACTGAAATATGGTGTGTTTATAAAAACGCTGAACAATACAGTACCCTTTTCTTAAAGTATGTTCTCCACTTGTGGTATTCTCTTATAACAATTTCAATTCTTCTTTTCCAGCATTTCCCCTCTGTGGCGAGGGCCTGCAAGAGAAAAAAAGGGGACGCAAAATAAACCCAAGTCCATAAAGAGCACGCAGCACAAAGAGGGGAAATGACAAGGGAAACATAAAAATGAGTGACAATTAAGCATTTAAGAGACTGAACATAAAACAATCAACAGGATGATTTTGGGGAAAACAAACAACAGACTCTTTGTTGCTGCCTTTGTCCAACAGTGACCACACTTCTCGATTTTTTTTTTACCTCTGCAGGACGATGGACATCCAAATCCATAGTTCCATCCAGGGGTGTCACAAAATGACAAACAGGATTCTCCCTTTTCTCCACATCTGGTAGAAAAAGCAACACAAGTCACTCCCCGATGAAAAAACAGTTCCTATTTCTTTGTCCCAGTAAAGGACATTTACAGTGCAATTTACAAAAAAAAAAACAGGAAGGTCTTGTAGAAACATCATGCACACAGACGACAGTTTCATCATCCCCTGCCTGCATGAACAGCTTTAGGTGAAAGATCACACCTCATTTCACAGTTCATAAAAAGCTTGACCTACTTTGTGTTTATTTTTATGACATGAATGAGACCCGCTATCAGTCACGATCACAAAACTGCTCGTGGCATGTAAACAAACTGCTACTACTGAAGCAAAGTTACAAAGATGCATTAATCTTAAACCGAATTCTTTGAGGCAATAGTTCATGACTTTACAAATAATGTTTCAAGTACTGTTAAGTGCAAGCTGTAAGAAACATTTGAATGTGAGCTTGGATGAAGGGAACCATGTTCAATTTCTGCCAAGAAATTCTTGAATCAGATCCTGATGTCTTGATACATGCTGCAACTTGACTAAAACTGTGTTCAACTCAACTCACACATGATAGAAACCAATTGAAAGGCAATAATAGACAACATGGGGCTTACACTGCATATACCAGGCTCTCCATATGGCGTTGTTGAGGCGGATCTTGTCTCTCCAAAGCAGTTTTAGCCCTTTGAAGTTCTTCCATTTGGGAGACACCAACTTGCCACTGAAAAGACAAGAAATTTCTTATGAAACATTAGCCTAACTTTTATAAGCAAATCACGAATATCTCCACAATTCAACCCCTCAAAAGGTCACAGTGCTCTACTTTGTGCCCTTCTTGCTCGTACAAGATCAAATCTAATTTCACAGACTGAGAAAATGCCCCGAACTAGGGGCCAAACATGTCCTGATCAATGTTTTATGCCATCTGATGTCGTCCGAGTCATTTATTATTTAGTATCAGCCTATACCGAGTCCATGCTTTGCTGTATAAGACCTGTAAAACTGATGGGCATGCAGTACCGCATGCTGTAAATCAAAAGTGGAGTCAATCCAGTATGCAGCGAGGCTAAGCAACGACATCAGGCAAACACCAGAACTCAAAATCTCCGTCGTAAATTCAAAAGCAGTCACATCTGATGAATGATCCTGTAAGTGGTCACAAAGCTCATTGCAAAGCTCCAGTGTGGAGAAGGTAAGGTGTACCGTGGCTCCAAAAGCTCCAAACAACAGCTAAAACCCTTTGTTCTCTACTTCAGCGCTGGGCTGGTCATCCAGCACGATGAATTCTATTATCCTCTCGATAATCTTTTTCACTTGGTCGCAGTCTTAACTAGATTTATCTCTTCTTTTAAATGTATACTTGAGTGTGTTTTGTCTAAGAGCAGCTTTTGCTCATGTTAGCTGATTTAACTCACTCAGAAGATGAACTGTGCTCGGCCTTTACAACACCTGTGTGACAGTGGACACAAAGTATTCGGTGCTAAATAAAGCCGATACCAGTGTGATTACTAATTGGGACATCCCTACCACAAACATCTGTCTCATTCGGCTCAACTTTAACACCTCAACAGACAGAAATGTTGCCTCTTTTAAAACTTCACCTTACAAACCAGATCTTTCTTTTTTATCTGACAACGACCCCCCAAGCCCCAACATCATGAAGCGACATTTGCTCGCTGTACCACTGAGCGAGAGTCCATCACTCGTGGCCTAAACGTGGCTCCAACAACCCGAGCATGGATGTGCTTCTGAACAATCTGTATAGAAAAAGTCTCAGAGGTGTGTATCTGTTAAAACAAACCACTGAATTGGATGATTTGCCTCTTTCCACAAGAACAAGCAAGCTCAGCTGGACCCTGGGAATCCAACCGCACACATTACATTGTTTTTAGGTCACCTTGACCAGCACTGGCATACTAAGAAATAAAGCAAACATGACGAAGTTTGTTGAGGTCAAATTCAGGTTAGAATTTTACAGCTTTGATATGGATACAAGAAGGAGTCATATAAACCAAGTGCTGTGCTGCTAATGTAAGACAAGGGGAACTCATCAGTGTGCACTGGTGTGGCTACAGTAAACAAGCACAGCGACTTTATTGTAGATATGAACGGTCTGTTCAGTATCAGAGAACGTCAACAATTTTGTTTTAACAAGTGAGTCAAACATGCAATAATACAGAGCTGACTGAAACTTTGCAGACTCAAAGCATCCTTGTATAAACTTTAACATCTGAGTGTATTAACAGCATTAACATTTTTCTTCAACTGACTAAAGTTGATGTCTACATTTTAGAAAGGAGAGTGATTACGAAACAAAGGGTCATTTCCAAACTGCTTTCACAGGACAACGTTCATCACAGTCCACAAAGGTTAGATCACAGTTTCCCTATTTTCATCCTCCCTGTGGTGTCTCTTTAACAATCTGTCTTCCTGTCCAGTCGTTTTCAGTTTTGCACCAGTCATCATTTGAGTGTCCTGAGAACTCCGGGGGGGGGAATGGAAAACGCTGTTTCAGTGGGTAGATGGGTAGATAGAAACATGGGAGCACTGACCAGAGCGTTCATGGGACTCACCAGTGTTCTTGTTGTGTGTAAATGCTCTTTCGTGTACGTGAATACTCATAATTTCTTCTTATAGGATGAAGGACAACAACAGAACAGTAACTCATCTATAAATAGTCCGCCTTGTGTGTCAAATTTGGTGCCATACGCAAAGTCAGAGGGAATCCTCTGAGCAGCTGGCACCATCGCTACAAACGCTGTAAACAGAGACCCATGGGTAACTTGAGCCTCGCATTTTCCTTTGCAACTCACCTCCTAATATCTGCATTAAATCCAATCTTTATATTGACCTTTCAGTTTGTATCTAAACACTCTGCCTTTACATGGTCTTAAAGACTATAAACCTATCAGCATTCTTTGTCCTGGTTTTAGTCTGGCTTTTCAGAAGCCGGGGCTGCATTATGAATCACATTTTCTCAGGATTTATGGCGCAAATTGTGGCTCAGTGTTGTGATTAGAGCTGCAACTATCAGTTGATACTTGAGTCATTGTGCAAATCATTTATCAAGCAAAAAAGTTTTAACATTGCTGGTTCAAATTCTTGAGCCAGACGTGCTGCTTTGTCTTCTTTATATAACTTTAAATTGAATGTTTTGGTGCTTTTGAACCAAACAAGTAGTTTGAAGACGTAGTTCGACTCTGGGAATTACTACACTGTTGTACTAATGGAGAAAATAATTGCTAGTTTACCCAGTAATGAAAATAATGATTAGACGCCACCCTTGTTGTGATATTAGATGCTAGTGAAGGATCCTATAATTGCCCGTTGTTGATTACAGGTCACATGTAATGCTAAAACATCCGTTCAGGAATTCCATTACGTCAGCTTTTGATTTTTTTAATCAAGTACAAATTCCAAACATATGCTGGGTCCAGTGAATGTTAAGTGTTTGTTTGTTTCACTGTGTAAATACTTTTTATGGACTTTATGAAACTGAAAAAATTAACTGCAAACATGTCCAAGTGTCACATTTCTACAGAAATAATTAGCAAGTCACTCAGGAAGCTGTAGTCCCACAAGTTACAGAGAAAGTTTCTTGTTTCATGAAGCATTTTAAGCTGCACTTCTTGTGTGAATGGTGCCATTCAAGACAAATTTGTTATTATTTTATTCTAATTTACACACCAGGAGGAATGTGAGGTTTATTTACTTGTTTGGGGACAACAAAGGGAGCCAGGAACTGAAACACCAATTAACTCTCAGCATAAACATCATGGAAGCCATATGTCATGATTATTATGTTATTTAATGGTGACAGAACAATGCTGGAACTGTGCCTGCCAGCTTTCCCTGAGCACTATCAATTATTTCTTCTGACATGAAAGAAAGTATCTCCTCCTGTGGTACTTTTTGCAAGGCACGGTGAAACTCTGCAGTTTATTTTGGCCCAATACCAATACTTTGATTGATAGCTTAATTGAATTGTTTTGACGCCCAAAGGGGTGACGCTATCCAACTTGAAATACGAATATAAATATTTCTTCTCTCATACCACATTAATCATGCCAAAAAATTATCTTTCATTTGTCTTGTGAGCCACAGGAGGAGGTCCTAACTACCATAAAATTGATATATATTAAAAATTTGTCCAAAAAAATAGATTTTTGATGGCTTCTTTATTTGTTTGAGGCATAAAAAATGGTAAAACTATCCAAAATAAAACAGAAATTTAAATTTTTCTCCTCTCAAATGCCATTAATCATGCCAGATATCCACTACATTTATCTTGTGAGCCTCCGGAGGGGGTCCTTAGTTAGAAACTGCTGAACAAAACTACCATACAACTGGAGGTATACTAAAATTTTGGCCAAAACAATAGCTCTTGAATGCTTCATTTAACAGTCTGAGGCAGAAAAATGGCAAAATTATCCAAAATGAGATCTGAATATGAAATGTTCTTCTTATACGCATCATTAATCATCTCAAAAGTTCCCCTCAGCTTATCTTGGGAGCTTTAGTAGGGGGTGTTTAGTTTCAAACTGTTGAACAAAACTACTATAAAACTGTATATATTAAAACTTTGGCCAAAACAATATCTCTTGGTCACTTTACTTAACAATTTGAGGCAGAGAAGTGGTAAAGTCATCCGACAATCACACCTCATTAATCAAGTCAACAACAAAAAAACAAAACTACATTGATCTTGTGAGCCTTAGAAAGTGGTCCCTACTGAAAACGTAACATACGTTCAAATGGGCCCCACCCTCTGGCACAATCTGATAACGTCATATATGTATATTTACATACATCGTGAGTCCCAGGGAACACTTTTTTTGCAGAAGATTAACATCTTGCTGGTAATACTTGCCCGCAGGACTCTTACTTGGGGTTTTTAACACTTCTCAATGAAGGGTACTTTTTTCACATTTGCTCGAAACTCACTCCAGATCATGAGGGGCCAAGTAGGAAGTTGCACGACTCGTGACTGCAATTTCACACAGCGTGCCATGCCTGACTGTGCTGATCTCTACAGGACACAGAGGAGAGTCAGCCCGACCTGTGTGAGGGGCTGAGGTGGAACGGAACGCTCAGGCAGGCAGGTGAGCGGTGGCACGACTTACCTGTACGCGAGAGTCATGCACTCAAAGAGCTTGGTGAGGGACGCGTCTATGGAGAGGTGCGACATGCTCGCCTTGCCGAAATGGTACGTCTGACAGGTCTGTTTGTTGACAGTGTCGAAATCGTAGCCCTTCTTCGGGGGGTGCTCGCTGTGGGGCGACGACACCATGAAATGTCCGCTGTGGATGATCTGACACTCCAGCCCGTCCGCCCTCCGCAGCCCCAGGTGAGGCTCCTCCGCGTCCGAGTCGTCATCCTGCTCCTGCTTCACAGTCACCGGTGGGTGACGGTACTTCTGCCGAAAAGACACCTCTCTGGTAGCCATACCTCACCAGACAAATAGCTAACGTTAGCCAGCAAGCTAGGACAATAAAAGTCTCCCAGTCATGGGGCTTGCTGCCAGCGGCGCTGGAAAACGCGACCGAGTCTGGCTGTTAAAGTTTGCCAACTTCGCACCGCGGAGACGGGGCCTTCCCCCCTCTCATGTTAGGGCTCGCTGCTGGTTCACTAGTGGCCCGAGTTAACTTGTTGTTGTCTTCATAGACAGTTGACGTAGCTACGAGTCGCAGCAACCAGCTGACGAAAAAACTGTTCTCAGGCTCCTCTGTCCGGAGCAGGAAGTTCCTGTGTGAGGGCGCCTCTGATTGGTGGGAGTCAGAGCCCCACCCACCGCACTCAAAATAAACCGAGGCGACAGGTTGAGGCCGGAGACACGAGCAAGGAGCCGGACTGCTGCTGCTGCTGCTGCTGATCCGGGTCACTGCCTGCACCTAAAACCTGTGAAAAGTATCTAAAATTCAAATGGATATTTCTATTAAGATTCTCAGTCATCCAGTTCATGGTTGTTCTCGTAGGTTTATCACAGAAACTAGATTTACTTGAGTTTCTTGGAGATGTTTCACCTCTCATCCAAGAAGCTTCATCTGTTTGACTGACTAGTTGGGAGTTCCAGATATTTCTATCCTTAAGGAGCCATTAACACTTCAGGATTGAAGCGTAGACCTGTAGTCTGCAAGTTTTCTGGAAGTTCTTTCGTAATCCCACACCAGTCTCAAGCGTTAATGGCCCCTAAAGAATATAAGTATCTGGAACTCCCAACTAGTCAGTTACAACTGATGAAGTCTCTTGGATGAGAGGTGAAACGTCTTCAAGAAACTCAAGCAAGTCCAGTTGTCATGATTAAACTACGAGAATAATTTAAATGAATATGCAACTAGGTGTTATTTGATTCCGATGTGGGTATTTATATATAAATATATATAAAACTATGTTTCTGAAGAAACGTAAAAAGTAATGGAATAAGAACGTACCACTGCAGGGGTCCATTGACTCCTCTGAAAACAGAAGAAAAGTGTCTGCACTGAATAAAAATATAAACACTGCATGCAAACAGTCTTTTTCTCTGACTACGAGAAAAAGTTTTTAAAAATCTCTTACTCCTGTTGTTATGGCTAGAAAAGGATTCAGTTTAGCCAGTTGTGCACCAAAAGTTTTGGAGCTGTTCAGCTGGTGACAAATGTTCAGGTATTGATGTTGCATGTCAGTTAGGGCTGCAACCGGACACTTGAGCTCCACCATTTGTCATTTAAGACATAGTTTCAGACAGCTCTGGATGGACGTGTCGGTTCCCCAAAATATCTATCAACTTCGTCAAGGTCTTCAGCAACAGGGGCGCAATGCTCCACAAGCAGCATCAACAACCTTATTAACTCAGTGCTTTACAGATATATGACTTGTTACTGACTTGTGAGTTCTGGTCTATGACCCCACTCATGAGTTGCCAGGTATTATTTCCAATATAGAGTATATGTTGTTGTTTCATGGCATCTATTCTGTTGTAGAGATGCTGTGTTGGAACAACAAATACTGATTCCCCTATGTTAAAAAGAATGGATGGAATTTGATAAAATATTTCATTGTCTGTTTATATTTTTGTTAAGAATAGATGCAACTTTCGTAAAGGAAGTAAACTCTGTCATAACCACTGGTCTAAGAGGTACATCTTCATTAAAATACCATTTAAAATTTCAGCATTCAAAATGATTGAAAAGCGATATTAACAGAAAAAAGTACCTTAAATATCAAAAACTATGGGCGCCCCTATATATGAGCGGGCGACCCATGAACAGGAGTTATAATTCCCCAATGCAGCGGTTTGGGTTTGACTCCCGCTCATGACCCTTTGCTGCAGGTCCTCCCCCCTTTCCTGTCTCACTCTCTCACTATCCTGACTAATAAAGGCAAAAAGGCCAGAAAAATTCATTTTAAAAAAAGATAATTGTTAAGAAGTGTTAAAAGCCTTAAAATAAATTCAATTTTTATTGCAGAAACATACTCTCACACTTAAAATTGTAGAAAAATGTAACCTTCAACTCAACTCAAATGAAGGGGGTTGTGCAACGTATTAACATTAAGGGTGCTAATAATTGTGGGACACATGATTTGATGTAAAAGAATTATTTTTTAATGTGGGATTTTTTTTCACACTGAATAAATGCACTTGAATTAAAGGTTGAATTTTCCTCTTTTTTTCATTGTGGTCCTATATTATTTAGAAAAAAAACTGAATTTACAAGAAGCTAAAGAACACATCTTAACCAGGGGTGCCAATAATTATGGAGGGCGCTGTATATGTATCAAAAACTACTTACTACTTTTATTTTTCTACATGTCATTCCCCCCTCCCAAACAAAGCACATTCCACTGTAATATTGTTTTTTTTATTCATCACATTTTACAACACTAAAATGTCTGTTAGGACATGCTGTAGAAAGAAAACCTAAAAAGAGCAGTGACATCAACACAGCATCTCCCAGCAGACAAGTTGTTGCTTTCATCACTCTGGAGGAGGAGAACTGCCAGTCTGCTCTGCTGATGACAGGAAGCCCAGGATGTAGCCTGTAAATGTCTCCGCAGAGATCTCATTTGGAATCGCATCCTCCGGTGAATGTTCTTCACCTGGACACACACACACATCAAAAAGTGATGGTTGTTCTTCAGCGATTATGTGACTTAGGTGCATAGGGTGTGGCTTGTGAGTATGTTTTTGTGCTACATACTATCAGATTTGTCGTGCTCAGAACATCCTGCTCCTTCTTCTTCCTTCTCTTCATTGAGGCCTAAAATTGCGGTAAAACACTCTGCCACCTCTTCCTTGGTCATATGTTCTCCTGTCAATAATATCAAAAATTAAGCATACGTTGGATGCTGACAATGAAACATGGAACAGCAGATAAAGATTGTTTGACACAGCTGAAAACAGGTAGACTAATCCTTTGCTGCCTGTAGCGCACCTCGAAGCTGTAGCAGTTCCAGCAGCTCACATCTCTGCAGAACAGGCTGCCCTGTGCTGTGGCAGTCACCAAGGACGCGAAAAGCTTGAACAAGCTCATTGCTGGAAGTATCGAAGGCTGGCCGATGGTTCACATACAGCTTGATAAACTCCTCCAGGTCAATGTCAGTTACATATTTTTTTGTTTCGGCATACTTGCTGAACTTGACCTCATTTTGCATGTCTTCTATCTGGTGAAAAAAAGACAATTAACTGTTAGTACAGTTCTCTTATTACAAGCATCAAATTGCTTTTTTTGTAGTCACTGTACCTCTCGCTCAGTAGGGAAGTAGGCCAAAGCTCTCATCAGAGAAGGCACCTCGGACAAGGGAATTTTTGTCGACACTTGCCGTTTATCCACTGAGTCCAGGCCTTGATGACGGATTTGGCAGTAGTAGAAAAAGTCCTCCATCTCCTATGGTTAGAAAATTTCAGAAGACTAAGAATCTGTGGTTAAAATTGCATCATAAATTACTGTATAAAACTCATAGCTCAAGCAGGAATGCAACTTTAAGTACATGATATCTGATATCTCAATCTTGGGGTCTTGTATGTTCTAGAAATACAAAATATGTGTGAATATGTCACAGAGCATTGCTCTTCAGTAGATGATAGAAGACTGCATGCTTGAGTTTAAATTTCTTCTTAAAAGTATATTGTCGCTCAAAGTACATTTTCCAGTTTTCGACACTGGTTTATATTTCTGTGATAATTTAAGTCATAATTACAGTCACGCTAGTAATGCATAGAAAGTCAGCAAAAAGTAGTCACAAAATAATCAGAGAAAACCTAAATAAAATGAACCCAATTGCATTGTCAAAGCTAACGTGTCATCATTACTATCAAGCACATGTAGAAGGATAATCAAGAAAGCTGAAACAATCAGATCTACTCAGTGACACTATGTTGTTATCACAGACACAAAGTGCCACTAGGAAGAGGAAACATGTTCAACCAGCATACATGTTTCTGAGCTGCATGCTAAAATAATAACATATCAGTGAAAACACAGGACAAATACTTCTGTGAAACTAAAGAATGAATATCATAAAGCTCATTAAATCAAAAGAAAAAATAAAATAATAAGTAATGCTTCTCCTTTCAAGCCAATTCAGTAATCAGAGTTGTTTACTTAACACTCAGCAATCGTAGGAAGTAAGAACATTTTTAACTCACCCTGTAGAACTTGCCCCCTTTTCCTCCATCTAAGAGAGTGTAAAATGGTGTGAGGTCCTTTCCACCCAAGGCAGCTGCTGCCTCCATCACACTGCATTCACAACAAGAGAGGGGACCAATTACACTCATTACACTGCTCATGTATTTCCTCTGCTTCCCAGGCTGGCACCATTGAACCTTACTTTAAGTTTATTTCCCACATGAGGACAGTGCAGTCCGATCCTCCTGCAGTAAAAAGAAATCGGCCGTCGTAGGAGCAGGCTAAAGCGGACGCCCCTGTCGGATGGCAGAGCAAAGCATTCGACTTGTAGGGATTCCCATCCAGAGGTAAAATCTGGAGACCCACCTATAGGACGTACAAGACACTCTTAGTGGAATTATCAATAATGTGAAACACTTTGTTTTGCTTTTTTTCTTTCAACACTGACAACAAGCATCAGACTAATACATTGAGTAAAAAGACAGAAAAAAATCTGCACACAGTGTAGTGCAGGGTTAGACACAACCTGTCTGGGGTAAAAACACAATAAAATGCACATGAATAATCTGTATTAACACAGAGTCTCACTTTAATTTTATAAATCCGGCTATTTGATCAATTTTCTTAATAAAAAAAATACTACAGACAAGTTGCAGCACTGACCTTGTCCTCTGTGATGAATGCCAGGTAATATGAGTTTGTCTCAGGTTCTTTAGACTTGGGAAGAACCACTATTTGCTTAATGGGAGAACCGTATGTTGGGCCGAGAAGAGTCTTTCTGTTTTTTGTACAACATGTAATGCACACTTGTAAGATTTTTTTTTGCAGTGGCAGCAGTAAGTCCCATAAAATGTGTTTTTGTTGCAGTATTTTACAGACCTGCACATCTTTGTTGTACTGTTGAAAAGCTTCATCTTGTACTGGTCTGAGGCAATAAGAAGAAACTGCTCCTTGGAGAGGGGTGGATACCAAGTCATGCACATCGGCACAGCACTTTGCTCAATGCACTCTGAGCTCAAAATGAGGAGCTGGTTCACGGTGCTGTTTTCCAGGTCATACTCCACCTATTGTTCAGTTCCACACATGACACGAGAGGTGTGTGCACTAAAAATCCTATATCAACAGTATCATAATACTCCAAACTAGACAATAGTGCTACAACTTTGACAAAGTGGACTAACCAGTTGGCGGTCCATTCCCAGAGAGAGCAGCCTGGGTTGCATGCTGTCCAGGTGAACTCCAAAAAGAAGGTCTTTGATGGGCTTGTAGTGAGAGCGATATCTGCCCAAAAACATCCAGCGAGGTGAAGACCAATTATCAGTCTGTAAATGGAACACTGTCACTGCTTTTCCAGCATCCTATCCATAAAAAAAAAGAGAGATAAAATGTTCACATCATACTTGAAGTTATAAAAATGCATATAAAGTATGGGTTTGCAATCTATGATCACAGCCAAACTAGGTCAACATTTTATCTGAAACCACTATTGCAACTGAATTCATACACTTAAAAAATTGAGACTAATCCAAAGACTCGCTCACCGCAGTGGCAAGATACTTTGAGTCTGAGGAGAAGGTGATGAGATGGATGCTGTCGTCAGTGTAATGGAAACATTCCTCGGGGTCACTTTTTAAAGTGCTGGGATTCAGTATGTGAACTGCTCCATTGCCAAAACCAGCTGCCAGGTATAATCCTGTTTGGAAACAAAAGTGCAGCTCTTAAATGTCAAAACAGAACAACAAAACTCCATCCAGCTGCTGGGAAACACTGGTTACATGGAACAGCAAGCAGACTCGCTCACCTTTAGGGTCGAAAGCGACACACTGAATCTGCGTCTCTGTCTCAAAGACCCTGCTGCCAGTGATTACTTTGTTGTTATAGTCCCACACTTCTAAAATGCCCCTTTTAGTGCCCATGACCACAGCTGGCAGATGGGGGTGGCAGGCCACCGTGGGTAGAAGCTCAGTGTTGTCATGCAGCAAGATTTGAGGGATGCTGCTTTGTTTGTTCACATGTACAACTGTGGAACTGATTGTGGAAACAACAAAGTTCCTGCAGGAAGGAAGAGGACAGCTGGGTGAAAATGCTGTATTCTTGGTTTCTTTTTTTGTAGCACAAATTAGTTCAGACTTAAGACATAATATATTGTATTTATTATACCTGATTATTAGTGGTTTGGCCTCCAGGGTGCAGTCCTCCAGATATCCCTCTGTGCACTCTTTGGAAAAGGAAATGGAGACAATAGCGTCCAGGTTGAATTTATCGTACCATATCAGAAGCTTGAATTCTTCATCATAGAAAATGATTTGGCCTTGAGCATCAGCAGTTACAATACAGCTGACATCAAAGCACACACAAACAAAAAGAGATTAGAGACCAGAAAATACATGTCATATTTAAAAGGCAACGACAATGAATATTTCTGACTCTGGCTACCCGTCAGTTACGGTGAGAGCAGTGATCGGGTGCTGCTGGAGGCGGAATAGCCTAATTCTGTCTTTGGGTTGGGACTGGTTTGCAACTAGGTCCTCCATCACGTCCCACACCATGATGCTGCCTTCAATGGCTGTCAGGACCTGAGGCTTTCTCCAGTGAAAAATAGACCGACTGAGCGACGCATCAGATATGCTGACAGTTCCAGAAGGGCCAGGAGCAGGCCGAGTAAATTCAGTAGCATTGATCGCATAAGTGGCAGCATCACTGAACTGCAATGGTGAACAGATCAAACATTTAAAAACAATGTTTATCAAAATACTCAGGAAACATATCTGACAACATCAGATACAAAATTTGGATGATAATCTTTACCCGCTTGAGCTTTAGGGCAAAGTACCGCAGACCTCTATGGGCCTGAAAAAAGAACAGCTGATCAATGTCATAAACATACATACTGTACCGTGGTTTTCAGTAAAAAATAAATAAAAATGACGAAGAACAGTTAAACTTACCGAGCTGTAGAATAATAGATGACTTTTACTCCTGCTGACCAGCTGAGTGCTATCGTTTGGATTAAAGATGATGTAATCCTGAAAAACAACTCAATATTTGAACAGCTGATCTTGTCGCTGCCACGTGCAAAAAATTGTGTGACATTGAAATGTTAAAAGAAAACAAACTTTACTCACTTGAAAACCATGTTTAGGGTTGAGTTCAGTAAACCACAGAGGCTCACGTGTTTCATTGGTCCAATCCCAGATACACACACACTAAAAATATCATCATATGATTAATAGGCTGTTAACGAATGTGAATTTACTTTAGTATGAAAATTGAAATTGCAAAAAAGTAAGAGTAAGACTAAGATCCTAAATACACAGATAAATATTGTGCACTATGATATCATCAACTAACACTACTTCTGAATTAGAGTCCTGTCAGTATTTCTTATTAATCATCAGGGACCAGACTTTAAATAAATTCGTCCCCTCACCCCAAATAGTGCACTTCCATCTAGACAGAACAATGCAGAGTTTTATCTTTTAAAAATGTTTAATTGAGTCTGTCTATTTCCACCATTCTGTCTTACTTACTTGAACTTCTTCGGCCCCAATGGTTACCAGATGTTTTGTGTCTCTTGAAAACGCCATTGCAGTGACACCTTTGTCCGACTGACAATCGAACAGTGTATGCACAGGAATACTGGGATATTGATTACACAAGCGGTTACCATAAAGATAACATAAAGAGCAATGGTTAATACATAAAAATGCCTTAATGTATGTAGAATATAGAAATACCCAGAGTAGGAGTCCCATATGATCACCATGCTTTTCGACCCCTTGTCTGCTGTGGCAACCCAGCGTCTGTCTTCACTCACACACATACATGAGATGGGGTTGGAGTGACCCTGAAGACGAGTATAAACAGTAGACTATTTAAAATCACACCTTGACATCTATTATCAAGAGATACACTTTGAGGTCCAAAAGTCTGAAACCACTAATAAAGATACTTCTATTTAGCATTCACTGCAAATGTAATACTTTCTTGATAACAGATGCTCATATGTCTGATATATGCACATGGATTTTACAACTAGTGTTTGATGTGCCCCCCGTTTTCTTTGTTAACAGCAACACTGGAGCTGCATGGCCTCCACAAGTTTGTTCTAACCTGATGAACTGTGTTATCCCAGCATGATCTCACATGGATCCAAAAAGGTTTCGTGCGATGTTTGGAATGTTTGTGCATCTTCAGATGCCCATAAATGTTCATTTGGGTTTAAGTCAGGTGACTGTGGAGGAAAGTCCAAGACAGTCAGCACTCTTTGGTCTTCTTTTGCATCACAAGCTTTAAGGTGTGTTTGGATTCATTATCCTGCAGGAGAATTAATCCTTCTCTATAAAGCTGCAAACCAAAGGGTGCAAAATGTCTCTGCAGAATGGATTGCTGCTTCTTCTTGATCAGGATGGAATTGATTTGGTGCAAATCTGTCTTGAATATTCCCACTACCATGGTTACTGTAGATGTACTATACTACAGTATCATTCTCTTTTCTGTTCATCTCCTTAACTACACCCTTTTTTTTTACTGCTACTAATCTCAGACTTGGATTCATTTGTAAATACAACTTTTTTCCATAATCCACCATTAAGTGGTATGTCTTAGGCCACGTGTATGGACTTGTTTAGAGATGCTACTTGTCCTCTGAAAGCACCAGTAGACAGTCAACCTGTGACAGTGGTTTTGCTGATTGAAGTCTTGGGTTCTTTATATAGAACATTGTGCTGTCAAGAGTGAACAAAGCTTGATGCATTACTCTTATGATTGTGTGGTCAATTTCGGTCTGTCTGATTGTGCTTTAATACAAGTGATCCAGTCTCCACAAAGTGCTTTAGAGTACCATGCTCTGCCTCTTTAGAAGCATTCAGTCTATTCAGTATCTAGTGATGAGAAAGGTCCTCTCTGCTCATAATAACAATTTGAGTAATAACACCTTCACTTAATTCTGACGCCATGTTTCCCACTATCATAATGCTACTTACTAAGGGAGGTTCAGCTGTAAATTTGAGGCATAGCCATATTTATTAAGTATGAAGTTGACTTACTTGAACAAGCCGATGATAAGTAGGTCAAATCCATATGAATACCATCTGAATGGTACTTCATTGGAAGGATTCAGTTTGTAAAAAATGTACCTCTTGGTTCAAATGATTTAACACAGTTAATGCCACGTCAAAGCTTGACTGCTGAACCCTAAATAGTGCAAGATTTGAAAGATTATTTATTTTACATGACACAACTTCATGAGTTCGTGTTTCTAAAACTTCAAGCTTTTTGATTATTTCCAGATTTTCCATGAAAATATAATATATATCTCAGACTTTTGGACCCCACCGTTTGTAGCTACAGTGATATTCAAATTACACATAGTACAGTCTTTGTCTGAGGGAAGCTGACTCACATTCCTCAGAAGCAGTCCGGAGAGCTTCAGTAAAATGCAACTGGACTTCTCTTTTTGTTTTTTGATAACTCTAATCCAAGCTGCTTCTTTAGTTCTACATAACTAAAGATTACTCAGATAAAGACCAAAAAGAAAAGTGTAGTTGCTTTATACTGAAGCTCTCAGGACTACCATGACCTGGATGACTAAGAATCTACACAGACTGTTCCTCAAGACGCTGAAAACTAACAGTGATTTTTACCTGAAGTATGTGTTGGGAGTTGGAGGTGTGATTATAAATGATCCCAACGTTAGCTGCAGCATAAAGGACCACCAGCTGATCGTGGTCTTGCAGAGTGAAGACGGGGAGAAAAGGATTCATCCCCAAGACCCATTCTAGTGACTGGATGAAGAACAAATTGTGAACTTTCTGTCCTGCAAAACACTTTTTGTTAAAGGTGACAATTTCTGTTGAAACTTTCTTGACTGCAAGTGCAGAGGGTTGATATGCAAACAGTACATATGGTACATATATACACACTCAACAAGGCATACTTACCAATATGTGTGTTCTGGTGTGAGTTTTCTTCACTGGGAAAAGAGTGTCTCTGGTTGCAGTGTAGACTTGAGACTGTCCAGTCATCCCGGCCTCGGCATCCTCACTGCTGTTCCTCTGCTTCTCCTCATCCTCATCCTCGCTGTCCTGCATTTTCTGCTTTTCAGCTTCATCAGATGTTGCTTCAGCATCTGACATGATATCCAACCCCAAGGAGATTAGTCTCACTTTTTAATATTTCTCATAGAGCTTTCTCAGCTACGTTCGGTCAAGATAACGGCGCTAACGGCAGAAGCTAACTTAGTTAGCTCGAAGCTAAACTAGTCAAAGAGTAACCTTTTTCAACAAACTGCGCAGTTAATAAGTGAACCGACACACATCAACACGACATCCGTTCTGTTGCAATTTTATCATTTCCAAGTTTTAAAGCTGAACGTTTAAAGAACCCGTCTGTTTAGTCTTAATTGTTCTAGCTGTAGCGCGAGAAAACGTGAGCGTCTCGTTGCCTAGTTACCACTGAACGACAGCACAACAGCTTAAAGTTAACTATGTTACCATAGCAACAGCTGCCACGGTCCCTGATGCCCTATTTGTCTATGTGACAATTAGTTTTAAGTGCAATACAACATTAAAGTTCATATCCACTCTTTTCGTTTCTTTTAATCTCTCAGCAGTTGCCTGATTTTTTACTTTTTTATTATTTTTTAAAAAAACTCATTCATCGCTTTTCTGCCTCTTATTTAAAATCTTAGAGCAGCTGTCCTGTATATAATTCTTCACTGGCTGACCTAATATGACTGTTACACATTTACAACTCATTCAAAATGCTGCTGCAATTCTTAGATCCTTGAACTGGCTTCCACTGAAATACAGAATTAAAGTTAAGGCCCTACTTATTGTCTCTCTGTCTCTGGATGGTCTGGGATCAAAGTATATTTGAGATATGTTCGTTGAGTACAAGATTAGATTGGATTCAACTTTATTGTCATTGCACTATGAACTAAGACATCGAAATGCACCTTAGTATCTACCCAGAAGTGCAAAAGAAACAGTAAAAGTGCAGTGTAATGTAAAATGGTTAAGTGACACTTCAAGCAATGTTAACAGTGCCTTTATATAAAATGTATAAAAACTTTATCAATTCCACAGAGAAATGTGGAGCTGTGCTCTCAAATGTGAACAATAAACGACAATTATATGTAATTACGATGTATATGCCGTTATTTTACCATTATTGGCAACATGAACGATTTACTTTCAGTCTTGCAGTTTCTAAATATGTCCACTGGAGGGCAGTAAAAGAGTGAAAAATATGACTGTGTAGGTTTAGCATAATTTGACAAAATATCATTAAATTTTCGCACAGTATATTAAAACTAATATAGATATGTAAAGCGAATGAAAAGCAAGCTACAGGAATGTGCTTTTTAGTAACTTCATGCTAATGATAATTAATCTCGATAATCAAGTTAACAATTTAAACGTAAAGACAAACACTTCTGTATGGGTTTTTCAAAATAAAATTAATAAATAAGTAGAAGCGACAATACTCACTCTGATAAGAGGCATTGAGAGCAGAAATAATAATGCCACCATGCTTGACCTGAGAAGGTGATCTGTGAGATGATTTTGAGGTTTTGTAAGCAGCAGTTTACAGCCACGACATAACTTTGGTTTGAAAGGTAGACTAGTTGTAACATTTTAACTTTGCAATTTCCTCCTACAGCCCGTTTCCGTTTGTCGTTGGGAAGCGGCTGAATTTCTTGCTGCCTTTCAAGCTTTAACTTATTTTTTTGTTTAGTTTGTCGCATATTTCCGCCGCCTCTGCTTCATACTTTCGTGTCTACATGTCATTAACCGAGACTTAAAAAGTTGTCATCGTCGTTGTACGAACTATGAAGAGTTTCCGAGACCGTGAAGACACCAGAAAGTGACGAGAAGGCGGCAGTTAAAGCTTGTTATGGTTTCACCCACTGACAGGTGAGGAACGTGGACGTGTCGAGGTGAGGAAGCATTTGATTGATTAATTTATTAATTGATTGATTGATTGATTGACTGATATAGTGATTGATGTACTGATTGGCTGATCCAGTGATTCACTGAGCGTCCGCTAGCGTTAGCATTAGCCGGTGGTTCTTATCGCCAATCCTCTCAGCTGACAGTCAGCCGCTCCAGCTTTTAGCTAACAGCCAGCACTGCGCTCCTAAACTGACAGTTTTATTGTGTGAATGTAGTCAGAGGCTGAACAGTTCAGCCACCACGACAATGTTAGTGTTCTGCTGCAGTGTTAAATATTGTTTAAAAGTTCACTAATTGCGTCAATGAACAGTTGCGCCTCCAGATATTTTTTATTTTATTTTATTTTTTATTTTATTTTTACAGGGGTTCAGCATTTCTGTTGTTATAGTATAGAGGCTAGTTGAAAAATCAAACTAAACCACATATATGGGCTGTCAAACTGTCAGCTGTCAACAGGTTGAACTTGTTCGTTCAAACTAGTTTGACCTGTTGGTGTTGGTCAAACAAGATCTGTTTGCAACTCCATATAGATTCAATGTACACATTTCACCAAAATCATAGTTAGCATCTGACAAGTCCAGAAGCAAAACTGGTTAGTCAAAATGTTACTGATAACAGACTGCTGAGTGTAAGGCCTACTGCAAACATGACTCCTGCATAGAATATACTAGAATGTGGCACAGTGACTGGTAACACTGCAGTCATGTTAAGCCATCATGCCAATATATATATAGATAAGTAAAATGAAGTTCTAAGGCCTGACTGTGAAGCTTTTTTCAAAGCAGAACCACAAATGTCACAAAACACAAAAGATGTTCCCCCGGGCTCTGGTGGCTGCTGTCCCTGTTCTGGTTTTTGACAGCACTCAGACAGAGACACCTTTGTTCTGGAGACCTTTTGTGTGAAGAAATCTTTTCCTCCTGCATGTTATCAGATGTACATTATACTGCGTTACAACTTTTAGGCACAATAATGACAAGCCTTACAAAAACATTTCCTGTATTTTTATGCCAGTGTCAGTGGTTTGTTTTCACTGTGGTGACAGACTGAGTAACCGGGATGTATGGAAAAACCCAAATAACCTTGTCCGTATATTGAGACAGACTTAATGTGAAACTGCAAAAGCTGGCATTAAACCCATGTCAACAAATAAAAAAAACCATACTCATCATCTTTGACTGAAATCTCAGGATTAAGCCTCACACTAAAAGCATCAAATGGGCGCCCCTATAGCTGACCTGGTTGAGCGGGCGACCCAAGAACAGGGCTGTAGTTCTCCAACGCAGCGGTTGTGAGTTTGAGTCCTCCCCACGACGGTTTGCTGCAGGTCCCCCCTCTTTCATGTCTCACTGTCCTAACTAATAAAGGCAAAAAGGCCAGAAAAAAATCATTTAAAAAATGCATTTTGGCAACTGAAGAATGGAGCTAGACTGCAGCAGTTTCTCCCTTAAGCCAATACAGAGACACTGCTGCACAGTTTTATTACCTCTTGGACATACTAATGAAAAGCTCTCTGATCTGGTCTTGTCAAGAATAATACATATTGCCACTTCAGCTGCATCAGATATCTGTAAAGTTGATGAACAGGCCCCACAGCAGACTGGCTGCTGTGTTGGCATAGCTGTTACAGTCATCTAATGGTGCTTTCTAATAAACTCGGACAACATCTATTCCAGGGGTGTCCAATCCCGGTCCTCAAGAGCCACAGTCCTGCATGTTTTAGATGTTTCCCTCTTTCAACACACCTCATTCAAATGATCAGGATCGTTATCAGGCTTCTGCAGAGCTTGATGATGAGCTGATCATTTGAATGAGGTGTGTTGGAAGAGGGAAACATCTAAAACATGCAGGATTGTGGCCCTCGAGGACCAGGATTGCCCACCCCTGGTCTAAGGTCTGGTTTTAAGTTGTGCTCTCTGCCGTTGATGATCAGTGTTACTAGTTATGCATTTCATATTAGAACAATCTGTCAATATCTCAAACTCTACTAGTTCAGCCAAAATGATATTTTCATCCCTGCAATGGAAGCACATCTAGAAATCCTGAAGTTGAGGCGCACTGGTAATCAGTGCTCTTGGGTTTTGATGTTCTGTGTTGCAGCATTGTGTCGTCATCATGAATAGCAATAATCCCAGCTGCTTCGGGTTATGTGTCAAGTTTAGCACAACCAGCCTTTTGTGAACATGGGAGCTTGTGAGATTTAGGGCCCTGAGGGTACAATCACAGAACAAGCTGAGTTTTATTCAAACGTTTTGACTTTCAAATGAATTAGTAGAACTGCAGAGTATATTGAAACACTTTTTTGTTTTTGGTTAAAATGTCCAACAGGTGGAGTATATGAGAGAAAGCTCTACAATGTGGACAGACAAGCAAAGGGGAATCAGAGTTTCGAAGGAGGAGCTGCTCTGTAAGAACGCCTGTGGGTACTATGGAAATCCTGCATGGCAAGGGTTCTGCTCCAAGTGCTGGAGAGAGAGAGCTCGTCCAGCCGGAGCCCCGAGACAAGACACAAGGTAAACTTTAATGGCTCAAATGTGCTTCACCACTAAAGTGTTGGTGTGTGAATGGATTCTTGTCACAGCTGAAAAAGCAACTCATGATAGAAATTAAATCCTTGCCGCATTGATGATTACCTGAACAGAAATGCTTTATTTTGGGGATTTAACATCACTAGCCTCTGGATGTGTAAGGGCAGCTATGGTAACATCCATAAACAGATGTATCAAAAGGAGACAGATCAGACGAATCTTCTAAAATCTGTCTCCTGTTAGCGTAAAACAACTTGGTTCGGCTGTCTAATTCTGTCTTTCCTTGTAGACCGAGCAATGATGGAACGCCACCCACCTTCTCCAAATTTGAGGAGAAGAAAAACATTGAGAAAGGTCGTCGAATTAATACCATGAGGAGACTCTTCTGGGGCAGCCCATCGCCTCCAAAACCTCAAGGTAGTTCTTCTAGCTTTGTGGAGTTTGCTTTTCTTGTTCTCAGTTGCATCAAGTCAAATGCTGTCTGTGTGTCAGCTGCTTGATCACATTTGGGTTGTACACGAGCTCAACTGCCTGAAGGAGTAAAAGTATGTTGGGCAAAAATGAAAGAAGCCCTAAATTGATGAAAAGCTTTTGGTGCAACACAACTAAGAGAGCTAGTCACCACAACAAAATGGTAAGACCAATTTATGTCTCAAACTGAACACTGCAGTTGCCCTTGTCTTGAGATCCTACAGAATGTATTGAGATCAAAGCAAAAACCGTTAACCACTAACCTTCTAGAAGGTCTGTGTTTGCCTTCAGCACAATTGTAGATTGTTTCTGTTAAGCTGTTTGTGGCAACTTCCACAGTTGTTAGAGAGGCCGAGGCTGGGTTCTGTCTAATTGTATGACACGCTGTCGCTTCCTAAATAATGCACAGAAGTCCGATACGTTTCTCTCCTTTTATTAAAAGTGATTTATGATTCGCAGGCATTACATTGTACTGGGCTACGGTAAACTCGTCAAAAATTTAAAGACACTTCAGCGTAAGTCAATCAAGCGTAGCAGTCAACAAAAATTACAGCTACCCAGCCCTCCTCTCTCTGGCAAAACGACCGCATGATTGACTGTCTGTCAGCCCTTTTGACAGCTCAACCTGTCACCAACTACACCATGTGACCCATGCTCCACATCACCATGACAACCAAATAAACAAACTATGAACCCAGTGATCAATACTCAAAAAACAACATTTGTGGCTCCTACACTGTTGTGTCAGGACAGTTCTAAAAACTGTCTCGTAGTGCTTAACGATTAATTTTCATCAAACTTTGCTGTCCTGCTTCATAAGGATAACTGTAGATAGTGACCCAAAGAAAGAAAATGTGCACACAAGCTGGAAAAAAGAGTTTCCTCTGCCTGGTAACTGGGCTCAGCCGTAAAGGTAGGGTGAGGAGCTCGGGCATCCAAAGGGAGCAGGAAGTAGAGTCGCTGCTCTTTTGCATTGAAGGGAGTTAACTGACGCGGTTCGAGTTACTGATTAGGACTTTCTTCAACTAAAAACAACTAAAAACTAGGAAGCCACGAGGTAGACACAGACACAGAGAGTGAGATAGAGTTCAAACATTTAACACCAGGTGTCTCACCAGCACATGATCTGTAGTTGCAGTTATGTAATACCAAAATTGTTTTCCCAGCTGTTTTTGCTTTATTATCTGAGAGACTCTTAGGTCCACAGGTATTTGTTTATGATGCAAACCTCTCCTGTATATGTGTACTTTGGCCACTTATTCCCCTTTATGCTTTACTGTGTTACTTAATGCAGAGACTACGCGAGCAGCGTTTCAATAAATGCAGCCATTGTGTGTATCATGTTGTGTCCAGTAATCAGAAATAACATCCACTGTTTGTCCCTCCAGAGTCTGCTGAAAGTCGTGCAAATGCGTTGAAGGCCTACCAGAGCCTTGAGCCTGGGGACTTCACCGGTTTCCTAAAGATACTGCGGAGCCCTTCCTCCCAGCGCTTGCAATCCCGCTGTACAGCTTTCCTCAACACAATGGAGGCCTACCATGTAAGTATTGGTTTAAAGGTTCAGTATTACAATTCTCACAACCTTCCCTTGACATGTCAGAGCTGTCCAGATCACAGATTCACATTTTGTTTACAGGCTCTGCCGGTACAGAAGCAGTCAGAGATCGTGCAAGATTTCTACCAGTCTTTTGCTGAACATTTTCGTGGTGAGTAGGGACCAGTTCACTACGTTTTGGGCTCATTCTGAAAACATGAGAATGTTAAATGACTTTTTAGTTGTTTCTTTTGTTTTCAGGGTTGCCTGAGGCTCAGGTCACTCAGATAATGGAGCATGTAGAGAAGTTAATAATGACACGCTTGCACAAATGGGTTTTCTGCCATGACAGCTGTGATGATGAACAGAAGGACCTTGTTCTCCAGAGAAGGATACGGTCGGTAACTTATGTGGGTCACTTGTGTTGTTCATGATGTAAACCTCTAATCTAAAGTCCTGTTTGACGCTGATGTTTTTACTCTGCAGTTCCTTAAATTGGGTGACTCCACAGATGCTGGGCGTCCCTTTTCCAGAGGAAAACACTTCAGTCACAGGCGACCCCTTTCTGCCGGCGATAACAGGTGATTTAACACCTTAAAGGAACAGTTTGGAAATTCACTTAAATGCTTTCTTGCGAACAGTTAGATGAGAAGATTAATGCCACTACAGACTTTAGAGATTCTTGTGAGCAGATTTTGTTATCTTTGTACAGAGTAAGACTATCTGTTTCTCCCTGTTCCAAGTCGTGATGTTAAGCTAATCTAATCTAACTGAAGCCTTATATTTAACTGATGAACATGAAAGTAGCTTTAATCTTCACATTTAATGGCTTGTTCAGACTGTTCAAATCACAAAGGACTAGACTATGTCTCATGGCAATTCTAACAATCTAAAACTGTTCACACTGACAACACCAACAGAATTTGATTTGATTTTGTTTTTTCGTGCAAAGAACAGATTCAGATGGAGAATTTGCTATAATTGCATACATACTACAAACTGTACTACAAACTCTGTCTCCAACTTCAGACACTTGTTTTTTAGGTGTAATTACTTTCTCAAAAAAGAGATGAAGCACACAATTAAATTCTTTTTTTTCCCTAAAAAATTTTCTATAGCTACCATGATAATATTGTCATTGAGAATTATTTTGGCCACGACAATCAGGTTGTGAAAATCTGACATTGTGACAGCCCTGTTCTGAGTCATACAGTCTCATTGGCTGCAGTAGTTTTCAATGTGCGATTATACGTGACGAATGATGCGTCCAGTGGGAATAGGTCGTCACTCCGAACCAAAAAGTAAACAAGTGTATTTCCTTAAGTGCTAAACTTGTACTTTACTGAAAAGTAATAGAGGTACATTTCTCACCTGCTGTAAACATTATGAAAAGGTCTAAAATGTTCTCCTTCCCTCTGTTTTTTCCCCAACAGCCATAATTGAAATGGATGCCAAACGAGCACCTCAAGACAAACTTGCGTGTGTGTCCAAATGCAGCCAGCATGTCTTCGAAGCTCTCTCTACGTCAAACAGTGAACCCGCTAATGCTGACGACTTCCTGTCAGGCCTGATTTATGTGGTGCTGAAGGCCAATCCACCTCGCCTGCACTCAAACATGCAATATGTGATTCGTTTTGGTCTCCCTCACAGTCTCATGGCTGGAGAGAGCGGCTACTATTTCACAAACTTGGTAAGTTGATCATAAAGTTGCTCATCTGTCATAAACAACAAGATGTGAGGTCCATTGGTAACTCATGCGTCTGCCCTCGTCTCATCATTTAGTCTTGTGCGGTGGCCTTCATTGAAAAGCTGGATGGGTCAGCACTCAACCTCAGTCCAGAAGAGTTTGAGGGCTACATGCTGGGTCAGCGTGCTCCCTCTGCAAAAAACAAGAGACTGCAGGCTGCCAGTGACACACAGCACCTGTTAGAAGAGCTGAAAAACCGGCAGGAGAACCTGGACCAAGGGATGGATGCTCTCAGTGTGCAACTACAAAAGTGGGTTCAAACAGTTCATTCACAACTGGATGAGGCAACAACCCAGTTTGCTCTGGTGCAGAAGGAGATAACGGCTCAAGTTGAACTCTCACAGATGGTTTCATCTTCAGCTCAGGATGACAACGAGCAGTCAGTTCTGGTGCTGAAGGATCAACGTGCAGGTCCAAAAGATACAGAGTGTTAGAGCTATTGCGAGAAACTCCTCATCTGGTACTCGATTCTCTTTAATCATCAGCACTAATGTATGAAAGCTGCAAGACAGATAGGATTTCTATTCTAATGCCACATTTGCACAAGCTCCAACCATAGAAGTAGGCAAATTCTAAGCCAGTTAAAGATGAAGGAAAACCTCCTGAAGGATGCTTTTTTACATTTCCTAACACATGTCACGCAGTTTTTAATGACTTTGCTAAAAAATGATTTGCACTTGTGTCCCATTTGTGGATTAAGGTCAATAAAATACATTCCAATTTATAATAACAAATGTGATTAAAAGTAACCGTTAAGCACTCAGGGTACACACAGCACTTAGGGACGTCATGTAAAACTTAAGTGTGCTCATGGAATAACATTTTTTTCTAATAGTTTATACCACTGTGCCTATATGTAGACTGATGTGAAATTTGAAAAAACGTGCTACAGGAGAAAAAGTTTAGATGGCAGTTGTAAACCACTACAAGACAGAGGGTGTATTTATGAAGAACTGTTGTATCTGAGCAGCGTAACTGTCCTCAACATGTTGCTTTTACAGTCCAGTGCAAAATTTGTAACATGTTGCCATTTTCTTAGTGTGCAGAAGCTGCACATTGTTTACAACTGTTTAATGGTCTGTAGGAAAAATCAAATTTATTATTCTGTGATTAATGATTGTATCCAATATTATATTAAAGTAATTTGATTCAGTTGTATGTGTATTGAGTTTTTCTGAAGTTAATGCTTTGTAGAACATTTAAACAGGTAAGTTTTAGGAATCAAATCCAACACTAAACTAGCAAGTATGGTAATACTTTAGTGTAGTGCCCATAATAAAAACCAGGGCTAAGTATGTGGGGGGGCTAATGTTTCATTACGTAATTACATGTGGGCAAATCTATGGGAAATGTTATTTAAATGTTATAGGAAGGGGAAGCTGAAGGGACTAAATAAAAGAACTTAATGTTTCTGCTCTAGTTACTTATAGTCACTTACACTGTACTATGCAGTATCTACAGTATATACTGTAAATACGAATGGTAATATTTAACTAAGTACAACAGGTATGTTAACATAAGTAGTCACACTTATTTTTCTTTGACAAAATTGCTCAACTCCAATTTACACCATTTCTCAGAGCTGGAAAATGTAGTACAGGAAGAATGATCGGATTTCCAACTTTTAGATGGTCCTTGAATGCCTCATGTGTGGTGTGCGGTTGCATCAGGAAAATTAAGCAAATCTGAGCTTAAAATTCTGACATTTTATCAAATTCAGTCTGTTTTATGTCTCGTTCACAAATAAGTAGTTTGCACCCAATTCAGCAAAATACAAAAACTCTGCAGGTTGTGTCTACACAATGAGAAGATGGAGAGAAAAAACAAAAAAACTTGGATATAATAGAAACATGGCGTAAAAACAGTATAGAGGAGTAAGTTGCATGGTGAAATATCTTTCTAGAGCTTTTGGTCACAGTTTGTAGAGGCTGCAAAAAATATTACTAGGGAAGATCTATAGTATGTGGAACCACTGCTTATTTCCTAGTATTGGTAACACCTGGGGGCATTAGGGAAAAAAAGGGGTTATACATATTACTCCATTTTTTTTTCCTTTTTTGGAAAACATTAAAACATTAAAATATTTAAAAAATATTATTTATATATCTATAATTTGTAGTATTATAACTGTATCATACTGCACAAAATACATTTAGCTATGGTTGTGCTGCTTCCCCAGCGGGGCAGGACTTTATACTGCAGTAAAAAAAAAAAAAAAAGAAAAGAAAAAAAGAAAAATTAGGCCACTGTGAGAAAAAAATACAAAATAAACAAATAATAATAATGTTTAAAAAAAATAAAAAAATGACAGCAGCACAACAAACAAAAAACGCCGGCTGCCCGGTGTTCAGAGGGTGAACTTCCGTGTTTGGGGCCGTAAAGCGCTGCGCTGCCGTCAAGAAACAGAAAGAGAAGGAAAGGTGAGCCCGAGGTAGCAGCCATGAAGATGACAACGGAAACCAGCAGTTCTGGAAACTCTGAAATCACCATGGATGATGTAAAAAACCTTATTAAGAAGAAGGACGAAATTGAAGAGCAGATAAAGGCTTATTACGACGTGCTAGAAGACGTAAGTCAACTGTTAGATAAGTAGACAGACGTAGCACAAAGCTAACTCTGTGCTACAAGTATTTACATTCAGTGTTGTTGTTTTTTTACTTTTGCTTACAGCAGGGAGTCGGAGTTGAAGGTCCCCTGGTTGATGCAGAGGGTTACCCTCGAGCAGATGTTAATTTATACCAAATCCGGACAGCAAGGCACGAAATTTCATGTAAGCAGCAGTGTTTTTGTTTCTAGTGTTTTCTCTGATAGCAGGAAACGTTTATGCAACTTAGTCTGTGAGAATTATGTAAAAGGCGGATACTGTCATTCAGCTAATGGAGTTGTAATTCTATAATAAGTACATTTGTGTGGTTTGATGTTGAGTTATAGCAGATAACGTTGTCATTCCTCGAGCACTACTCGTGTAGGGACGCATCTGTGCGTTACTGAAACCAAAACCAGGACCTGATGTTGTTCTCCAGAACATGTGTTTTTATGGCTGTAAATGTAGTTTTAAACCGTGTAGTGCAAAAGGTTTTCATTTATTTTATCTTCAAATAAATAATTCTTCAGACAGAGTGAATGTAAAAACACACAAGTGAACTGGGGAAATGTTGTCATTAGTTACTAAAGATCATAGCAGCTGATATGTGTAACATGTCAGTGTATCAGTGGAGGGCTGCAACAAGGGCTGCATTTTATTTATTTATTTATTTGTTTACACTACATTTTTAATTCTTTGGTATATAGTTTGTGATGTGAAGACTTGATCTTTCTAGAATGATTTGGGAGATTTTGTAGGGGAGTACATCTGCAGAGAATTTTTTATTTATTTTTATTTATTTATTTTTTTAAAGTAATAAAAACAACAAGCCATTAGAGATCATTCTCATGTGGTTAATGCTGCCAGAGGCATCCGAAATAGCATTTTGCTTTGAAAGACATTCACATCTGGCATTGCACTGGTCATTTAAGTAAGTTTTAAAAAAATCATTATGTTGCCTCTTTTAGTACAAGACACTGCTGATAGAAAACCTGTTGTTGGTCAACATCATTCATTCTGTTGCTGAAATATTTCCATACAACTGATATTGTTACATTTTGCCACCAGATCTTCCTTCTCCCCCTTTAAGAACCCCTAAATCAAAGCAAATAATGTTCTATCAGTCAGACTTGTCCTGTAGATTAGTCATGGAAAATGAGGGTCGTAGGAGTTTTCTTTTTGTGTCGAGCAGCAACAAGGTTCTAACAAAATGCTATTTTGCCTTATTATTATTATTATTTGTGTGGCTCGCATGTACACATCGCATTGTCAATGTTGTGAATGCTGACAATATATTGTGTAGCCCTAGCTGTAACTAATACTTACTTTAGTTTTTATGTATCTGCTAAATGTTTTCTCATTTTATCACATTTATTAATTATTTGATTATTCTCTGAAATTTAGAAAACAGTAAAAAAAAAAAAAAAAAAAAAGTGTCATTTTAAAGACAGAGCCTTGATCATGTTTCAGGCCTGCAGAATGATCACAAAGCCATCATGGCAGAAATAGAAGAAGCCCTGCACAAGCTGCATGCTCGAGAGAAAGCCAAGCGGGAGCTGGATCAGGCCGAAGCCCAGGAGGAGGCGATGGAGCAGCAGGTCACCCTGCCTCCTCCCTTTGCACGGGTGGACGCTGTGACAGAAGGCTCGCCTGCCTCTGGAGCTGTGAGTGACGCTTTTGTTTCCAGGAGTTGATTCAGAGACACCATCACAGTTGTTGAACCTTAAGAGTTTAAAAAGCCCTCAGAAAAGACCTTAAAACGTATGTTTTTGTTGCTGTGGTTACAGCATCTGGTTGTTTCTTTTACAGGGTCTCAGAGTTGGTGATGAAGTCATCGAGTTTGGTTCTGTGAACACGGGGAACTTTCAGAACCTCCAGAACATTGCCTCTGTGGTACAACACAGTGAAGGGGTAAGAAACAGCCGTAATCCACAGCTGCCTTCATGGGCAATACTGTAAATGTACTTATCTGTTCTATCATAGTAGTTTTATTTGGGGAGATTCAGTTTGTTTTGTAATTGTGTTATATCTGTTTTATTCATATTTCCCACAGTTGCATGGTGTCACTGTGGCTATAGAATACGTTATTATCTTGAGTGTAAACTGCAGTCATGTTCTTGTACAGAAACCATTAAGGGTGACAGTGATCCGGGTTGGCCAGAAAGTTCACATGAACCTGACGCCACAGCGATGGTCAGGCAGAGGTCTGCTGGGGTGAGTGAACGAGTCAGACACAGTCACAGTTGTGTTTGGATTGAGACAGATTTCAATGTAGTACAGTCACTGATATTTACAAACAGAAGAAAGGAAGAAAAATGCTGAAAAGCTTTTAGTAAATGTTTTTATTTGTGTGTATTTTTTTGCTATGTAGTTATACTGTTGAAATACTCTTTAGTATACAGTTAACATTGCTTTATAATTCTAATAGGTGTCTATTGGTCTCACCAGGTGTAAAGTTTCTGTACGTGTCAGTCACAAATGTGTTCTTTGTCTTTTTCAGATGCAACATTGTTCCAGTGCAGCGGTAATCACCATCACACTTTGCAGAGTTCACACTGTGGAAACCTTTCCACCACTTACATTCTCCCCGAGTGGTTTTAAACTGACTTTGTGCAAACTGCAAAAAACCCATCTGTTCTAATGAGAACTGTAGTTTCCTTCACACAAGGACAGTCTTCAGAATGGGATACGTAAAAATCAGGTGTCTTGCTGTTCAAGGGGTTGAGCTGAGTTTACTGATTGAGAGCTGAATAAACGTCGCTACCTTCTAGTGCTCTGATTAGATTTCTACGGGTTAGAGGAGTGGGCTTTTGGCATTTAGAGTTCGTCCTCTTGTGAGTGTGGATGCACTCAGCAAATGTTATTGCAATTAGTCTGTTTGATTAATCTCTATATTTTGTGAATGTGAGCATTTTGGTTCAGGATTGATGAGAAAAATAAAGATATTCATGCCAAAATCTGTAGTTTTTGGAATGTCTGGCTTATTTTCAAATCTTAGGAAACAGACGAGCCATCAAACATCATCAGCAAGCAAAAAACCATCAGGGGATCTTTGTGAGATGATATATTATTCAGTTTTTCCCCACATGTAATTAATTTTGCACATGTTTAAAAGCTGAACTCTTTAGCATTCAGTAAGTTAAAAAAAACCCAAAACCTTAATGCATTATATTGATTGATTCAGCAAAAAAAAAAGTCCTGAATCTGAACAGATATTGTTGTTCCCACTTTGATCAATATGACAAAACACTGAACATTTATAAGAACATTGTGAGTTTTATTATATAAAAAGGACATCATCAAAAGCAGTGACTCCATTTACATGGAACCTGGTGGAGCTTTACTCAGCATCCGTTTCTATCAATGTGAACAAAATGTTTAACATTTTTCAGCAACTATTACTGACTGACCAAAATTTGATATGATGAGAATACTTAAGTGAATCATCAGTGTCCCTGCACAGGAAAAGAGTGTCAGTGTTGGTCCATATGTTTATATGGTTGTACTGCCTCAGAGGCATTCATAGGATCTCACTGAATCTAGTTAGAAATACACACAAAAAAATAGTATACTCTGAATATCACAAAGGGGAAACTAAAGTCACAACAGTAGCGTAGAAACAAAGTCACATGGTTTGCTTGAGTTTCTTCTTTTTAGGCTTAACCATCTGTGGTAGTTGGATTTTGAAGGCAGTCCTGAAAAGAAAAGAGTTTAGACAATATTAATGTAAATAAATGTAATCACATTGCATGATGTCAGATGTTTTACCAAAACAATTCAGAGGAAATACATTTTGCTTCTGCTTCAAGACATGCTATAAACATATTTATATAAAAAAAAAGGACTCACTCGCATGTTGTACAAATGGGGCTGAAGTTGCAGAATACTTGAAGGAAAGACAGGAGAGAGTGTCACCACAAAAACACGCCGCAGCTTTTACCAGTAATGTAATGATTGTTGTTAAGTCTGTGTTTCTTTAAACTGGGAATCCCACTCACTTGACAGGCAAACTGAGCACACGTAACCGATTTCAATGAGGTTACGGTGGCAGAAACAAGCAGCTCTGTAGTCCACGTGAGCAGGCGGCGGCAGCACCAGCTGTGAACGCTGCTCCGAGTCGGGCAGGAACACCCACTGTTCAGAACACGAAAGTCATCAACACAAACCAGCTGCTTTTACTTTTAAATGAGAGAAATGTGTCAAACTGTAGTAGACACTCACCAAAAGATACTGTGCCAGGGCAACTCTCTGTGGTATCTTCAGGTACAATCCTCCAGTTATATCACAAGCCTAAAAAACAGAGAGTTTTAAAGTTGGGTCGCGGGGGTTGGAATCTATCCCGGCTGACTTAGGGTGAAGGCAGAGACAGGTCACCAGTCTATCACAGGACTACACTCAGACACAGACAACCAAGCACACTCACATTCACACCTACGGACAATTTAGAATCACCAATTAACCTCAACATGTTTTTGGACTGTAGCCCTGTGATAGACTGGCGACCTGTCCAGGGTGTCCCCTGCCTTCGCCCTAAGTCAGCTGGGATAGGCTCCAGCCCCCCCGCGACCCTCGTGAGGATTAAGCGGTGTATAGATAATGGATGGATGGATGTTTTTGGACTGCGTGGGAGGAAGCTGGAGAACCCGGAGAGAACCCACGCTGCATCAGGAGAACATGCAAACTCCACACAGAAAGATCGACGCGAACCGGCGACCTTCTTGCTCTGAGGTAACGGTGCTAACCACCGCTCCACCTTGCAGCCCAGTAGTGAACAAGAAAGTACAAAAATGTAACTGTAAAGTGTATGGAAGTGGAAGCATAAAGTAACAAAATGTAAAAACTTATAAGTACAAATACCTCAAAATAAACTTCAAGTACAATTACACTTGCGGAAATGTGCTTAGTGACTTTCCACCAGTGCTATTACTGTCTATACATAAGTAGTTCTGTGGTTCAGCTCTTACTATCTTGTCTTCCAGGGTGTTGTGCTGTTAAACTGCAATAATGTGTATATAAGGGAATACTGTGTAAAACATGTACCTGCTGAAGGAGTCCAGACTCTGAGTCCAACACACAGGCATCAATCAGGATGTTCTGTTTTAAAACACAAAAACATTTTAAAAAACAAATATGAGAAACAAGTGATAAAACAACAGACAGTCTGATCTATGAATGTACCTGTTTTTGAGCTGCAAAAATCACATTCATGAAGTTCATGTACTGGCGGGCGCAGTCCTCAGCAGCTTTTATCACCTGCACAGTGCAACAAATATGCAGAGTGTGTTAGACTGTGTTCAAAGTCAGGTGAAGGAAACAAAAGTATTCATGAAATTAGACCATTAAGGATTTACCAATATTCTTGATTTAATCTCCTGTCCCACTAAAAAAAAGAAGACAAAACATACATTACTGAGTGTTACAAGAAAAACTAAACTCAATGAGGGGCATCATTAAGTTTACATTAAAAAAATAATTACCTTCCAAGTCTTTTGAGACCCTGTTAACATCTGGATATTAAAGGTTTAAGGAAAATACTGGAAACTGTGCAGCCACAAATATACAGAATCTATTTCTATCTTCATATAGAAAAAACTGTGAACAAAAAAATCTGCAGTCATTTCTTTTAGCATGACCAGAAAAGTACAAAACAGTATGAGCACACTTTGAACACTCTGACAACCACTGCACAACATTTGTCAACAACAACAATGCATAAACTTAAAGTTACTGTCACAATGTGTTACACACAGTAAATGAATATGAAATGAACATGCACATGTTAAAATAGGATTGCTGCAAAAAAAGGTGCAAATATATACTCGTGCAATATCCTGCCTCTGTCTGTCCTTACATTTCTTTACATGATAGGCGACTTGTAACTTTAGTACAAGCATTCATCTCTTCTCTTCCTGCTCTCAACGAAGGCGGACGCTTTTCTCTCTCGCTCCCTCCCTTGCCCTTATCTGCCCTGCTTGCTGCTCTTTGTCTTGTGCTGTCTGTCTGAAACTATCAGAGCCTCTCTCTGCATTTCTCTCCAAAACCTGAAATCATGAGTTTGATCAGCTGGTCTCTCAACGCAACTGATCACATTTTCTCAGTGAGAAAACCGGGCAAAGGAGATCCTGCATGCCCTGACGGAACGTTTTCAGCGGGATACATGATGGACTCCTGGAAGGAGCGGAGGGTCGTGTGCCTCTCTATACTTTCCATGGAGGATGTTGAAGACATCTACATAATGGGGATGATGATAACAGGCTTCCTGCTGTTTGGAGTTTGCTGGTTCCTGATTTATCGCAAAGTTCAGAAGGTGATGGCAGCAGTTTCAGCAATTGAGAAGCTGCCCGTCATGGAGGGAATGCTTCGGGCTGTCAACTCTCAGACTCAAGCGATATGCAAAAATAATCGCAGAATGGAAGAACTGATTCGCAAGATGGACACCACCTTGGAGCGGTTGAACAGACCGATCCGGTTGCAATGGGCCATCAATTTCGGCTTTTTGGATCACAGAGAGAACCAGTGGGACTTTAAGACTGACGGTAAATTGCAGAGTCGGCCTGACCCAAAACAATCTTCTTTATCTTCATTCGGCTCCCCCACTTCGGCCTTGGAAGGCTGATATCTCTCCACTTCTCCTGGATGTTATGCAGACAGATGCTCTGGCCCCTCCCCACCCCCCTCCTTCTCCTGTGAACTTTGTCTCTGGATCAGAACTCTTTGAGGTCATCTCCACGGCAACGGCCGTGTCTCGTCACCAGCATCAGACGGCAGAGACAATGTTGAGTCTGGGCAGCGATGAAGTCCATGGGCTCACACATACACATACACAAAGACAGTTTCTCCCTCCTGTCTCCCCCCGTTATTGGTCACTGTCTTTTTATGTTTCTTGGACGGGATGTAACTGGTAATTTCGTTGCTCTGTACTTGTGACGTGCAATGACAATAAAGTTCTGACTGACTGAGATGTGAGTTTGTTACTTCACTTTTTCTTAGCTTATGATTAAAATTTATTACACATCATAAATGACAAAACTGGAAGCAGTTTCCATTGAAAGGATACAGCAGAGAGCTTTAGCCAGAGATCCAGCCAACAGAGTGTCAGTTGAATTTCCCCTCACTTCAGCTGTAATCACATTAAATGCATAGTGAGCTTTAAGGAGTCCCCAACACTATACAGCATCAAATAAATACCTGAAAAAGAAACTGTAAATACATTGCAGTGATTGCAAAAAACATTTTTCTTTGCTTTCATTATGTTGAAAAAACTTGAATTCTGAAATTCTAGTCCCAGAAAAATGGACTTACTTCGTGACATAACATTCCTGATCTCTTCAGCAATGAGGTTGTTGGCGACAGCCAGGAGTTCGTATTTTCCATCACCACTGGAGGATGCGTCATCGCCACCGCTGTCACCGGTTCTCCAGCTCTTACTGGGATACAAGAAGTGACTGAAATAAAGAGAGTAACAGGGATGTGCATATTAGAACAAAGTCACAGTCACAGTCTGCAAAGACAAAGTTCTGCTTCACAAATATTTCTTTACGTTTTGGGACTGGCACCAAATCTTTGCTTTTTTTTGAAATATTGAATCATAAAACATTCTTATGTTTCAAACAGTTATTTGAATTAAACTATGTACGAAGGAGAGGAAGTTGGTGGCAAAACAAACTAAGTTGATCTGAGAAGACGCTCACTGTCAAGTAAATATAATGGAGTGAAGTTTTTCTTCTTAGCCATTGTGAAATATTACAATGAAATAAGCAAATTAAAAGCAGCTTTAAATGATTCAGATATAAAACATCACGTTACACTTATGATCTTTTCCAGAGCTCAATCCCAGATATTGTCTTCAGGGTTTAGAGATTAAAGCCCTGATTAAAAGGTGTGCAACTAAAGAGTGCAACTGCTATTCCTTAGACAGATTTTATTTGTGTATCTTAATCTCTGTGTTGTTACAATGTGCTTTACTTTTATCCATCATCAACTGTTGTCATGCCTGATTCTAGAGTCATTTTTAACTTTATAATGCTGTGCCTTCTTGACCAGGTCTCCCCAAAACAAGACAACGTACTCTAAAGGGACCACCTGGTTAAATAAATACATGAAAATAAATACTGAGTGCACCACGTTAGATGTAGTGTTACTTTTCAGCGCTTGGACCTGCTGTGTTACCTGTCCTGACAGTGACTTGCAATGACAGCCAGCCTGTTAGTTCTGGTCATGGCCATGTGGGAGTTTCCCATCACCATGACTGCATCCAGACACTTGGACAGGGTGAACTGGAGACAAGAGGGCAGTGGGAGCTGTTTAACTATTAGCTACGTTAAAGAACTACACAGTCAAACTAATACTGGACATAACGGTGATACCTGCGGTTCACGTTGAGCCTGTTGCCCCCACCATATCGGGTTTACATCCACGACGATGACCAGCAGGTTGACTTCATCCTCTGCAGAATAATTGAAAGCATTTTAGCAAAATACGTCTCGGCGGTGATGAAGCTCACCAACCATCCTCCTCCTTATACAAAACAATATAGGAAAAAAAACAAAAATAAGCAACTTATTAACAGCCAGACACAACTCGACATACCTGAAGCCATCACGACCAAAACACCAAACTGTGATATCTCTTCGTTCTGGAGCTTTATTTCCTGTTAGCTTCCATTTCTGAGCTGAAAATTTCCACCGTATTCACAGAGCGGAATGTCTAAAGAGGCTGGCAACGCAAAATTCTGTAAATACTATAATGTTTTGTAAAATACACAATCTTCCCTGTGACAATAACTACATCAGTCGCTCTGACTGAAGGCTGAGTGCGTCATCAGGCTGCGACCTGCTTCTTCTTCTTCCTCGAGACTTCTGGCGGTTAGCAAACATCGATGAAGCGCATTACCGCCACCCACTGGTTGGAGTCTGGACGTAAATACAATATTTTAAAAAAACCGGTTTTAAAAAAGTCGATCAAATTAAGGAGATACTCGACACATAAATACACAAAAGCATTTTAAGTATTTGCTGGATTGCGTAAATATGTATGCATGTGACCCTGTATGCTTCAGGCAGTGCGATTTGTAACTGATCCTCTTTCCTACTTTAATACTGAACTCTCAAACAATAAATGCTGCTTTAATTATATTACCTGAACTCTCTGATGCATTTGTGAAGACCTGGACAAACCTGTGGTAATTATCATTATAGGCCAGTATAGCTCTACTACTTCTCTAATTGTGTAAAACGTGTGGCGTCAGAAAGTGTCCATAGTTGTACTGCTAGTAGAAGACTAATGGTTACTTGAAATACTTGAAGTTCTGCCACTTTCTGGGTCACTGTCCATCTGAACCTTTTTGTCTCCCTCCTATACCTCTTCCAACAAGATTTTAAAGTATCCTGCGCTGTGTGATCTTAACTGTGACCCTGTACAATGATCCAGGAATCCATTAATAGCCATATTCTTCACATTTTCCAACATTTTACTGCATAACAACACAGAACAGGACTTTGTATGAGCTCGACTAAAAGAGTTTATGCAACCAATAAAAAATATTTATTATACGAATGTACAGCAAATGCTGCAGAATTGGATTTGAGTATTTACTCTACAGAATTCACTTGTGGAGACATACAAAAAATCAATCACAATTTCTGCCAAACATAAACATTGTATTTTCCAGTTAATAAATATAAACCACATATTCTACAATCACGTTCTCCTCGTGCAGCGTGGGTTCTCTCCGGGTTCCCCGGCTTCCTCCCACAGTCCAAAAACATGTTGAGGTTAGTTGGTGATTCTAAATTGTCCATATGTGTGAATGTGAGTGTGTTTGGTTGTCTGTCTCTATAGATAATGGATGGATGGATTGATGGATGGAAGGATGGATGCATTTACACAGTTAATATGAACTAATCTGATCAATGTTTGCGGTAATGCCATACTTCAGTGTGTGTGAGAGAAAGAGTCCAGTGTTTCCATAGATAGTTATCTGTAGTTTACTGTAGTACTCACGAGTACCTGACCCAGCACAGGACTCTGCTGTGAAGGTGGAGACATGCGGCGGTGGTGTATTTACAACAAAACAAAAAACAAAAAAAACAAAAAAAAAAACGGGGAAAAAAAAGGAAAGAAATTTGTAAGAGCGGTGGCGAGGATTTAGGAATGATGGCCCGCCACTCCTAAATGAAAATAGAGGAAACACTGCGTTCAATAAATAGGTTGTAAAAGTAAAACTGCAGTCAAGTGTCATTTGTTTACACCGTCACAGCTCCCCGGAGAGCCTGCTGCTGAAAAAAATCCTAGAGGAAACACTGGAGTCGATCACCAATCAGAACAAAAGTTTAGATTCACAAATGAAACATACTGAAATTGTAAACTGTCAAACACATACTGTGCAACACATACTGTGCAACAACTGTCGTATATTTCATCCTAATCATCTTGTCCCAAAATATTTCACGCATTTTTTTTTAGGTTTTTCTTCCTCCCGCATCCGAGACTGGCTCATACTCAACGTGTTGGCTTTTGCAGTTACACACTTCAGAGTTTATCATCTTCTTCTTTCTCTTGAACTAATCTCACCTGTTAGAAGCTTTAGATGTTTCCAAGTGGTAGACAAACAAAGCTTCAAAAATTATCCCTGAAACATTCAAGTATTTTTGATAATCTGATAAATGAATCCTTGAGTCTCCAGCTATTTCCTGGGTTTGGGTTTAGGCTGGGCTTTGAGTCCAGTCCTGTATCTCTCAGTCTGGTAGGTATCTGACTCGATGACCTCGCTGGAGTCGTTCAAAGTTACATATACACCCCCGTTGACCTCTGTGACCTTGTGAATCCTCTGTTTGACACCTTTGGAGCGCCAGTAAGTCCTCAGGGGTCTGACTGTAGGATCATCCACAGCTTGGTAAAGCCCTTCCCCTTCTTCTAGTGTGATCTTGTACTTGTGCCACGGACACACGATGCATAACCTCCCATTAAACTCCTAATGGAGGCACAGCATGAAGGTGATTAGGGAAGAAGATACAATGGAAGCTGTTGGAATTGCAGTATTACTAGAAAATGTGCTATTTATTAGCTATTTCATACACAGGAATGCTTGAACAAGAAACATACTGATAAGTGTTAGACTTGTGGATGGGTTTTTAGAATAATTGGAATTCAAATAGTGTCTGATGTTTTACCACACCTATTCTCATAGAATAGTGGAAAACTCACCTCAATGTCTCCATGCTGTAATGCACCACCTGCATCTGTCAGTGGGAGACAAGTGGGATTATACATACCAGTTTTTCAAACATGTGACAAGTCACTGCAGAGAGTACATTCCACACTTAATGCGCTATGTCAACACAACTGACTCCCACACACTCCGAGCTTACGGTAACAGCGCACATCCATCGCATGAAGCTGTCCCTGGTGGTGAAGGACCAGCACATCCCTGCATCCGTTCACAAGCTTGGTCACACGGCCAGCCTTGACAATGTCCTCCTTCTTTCCAATGAAGTGGGATGTGGGGGTGGTGGTGGAGGAGGAGGGAGGAGGGGGAGACATAGAAGACGAGGACGTCTGGGAAGTCTCCTCCTCAGAGGACATGTTGATGGCTTCTTACAGCAGATGTTCTGGTAGTGAATGAGATTGTTTTTGAGAACATGAATATTAGCAAAATACAAAGGCACACAATGGTTACAGGTTTTATTTAGAGCTCATAGACTCAATCCACACAACGTGAAAAGCACTGTGTTTGTCAACTTGTGCTCATTTCCTGCAGCTTTCTCGTTAACATGTGGCTTTTTAAAAATGGAATTCTGAAATTAATCAAGAGAAGGAACTGATTTCAATAACATTAAGAGTAAAGTATATGCTACGTTTGACTTTCATGGTCAACTGATCATCAATTTATCTTTGTCAGATTGAGCTACAGACAGTTGGTTATGCACTCCATCACTGTGATGGAATGACACGGTTAACACATTGACATTTTCACAAATGGACATAGCAGTTAAACACTCATTTTTTATTTGTTTTTTTCTTTTACCTGTTGCTCTTATTTAAATGTATATATACATATATATGTGTTTCTTGTACAAATACTTTGAGAGCAAAGGAAAAAACAATCTAATTCCTTGTATGAGTTGGGCAATAAATCTAATTCTGAATCATCAGTGGTGGTTGTACACTGACTGAAAGACTATAAATGATGTTTGGAATGTTTCAGCTTCTATCATTTCTCCTTTTATACCGAAGCGAACAAATGACATGTTGCACAAATACTTGAAAAAAAATGGGACTGACATTAACAAAAGAGCAAGTGTGTTGTAGACAGATTGTGAAAGAAAGCTAGAAAACAAACACTTCTGTTTCTCCGTCAGACGTAGCCCTCCCACACAAGCTCACTCATGTCCAGACTAGTTCAGACCATACGAGGAGCACATAACGTCGTGTTTTCTCCACGGACACATCGGTATACACGACTGCACTTTCTCTTTTTAGTCATTTTGCTTTCCTCCAAACAATATCACATAAAAAGCTGGTATTTCCGCAAGTAGAACACATTCTTAAGGGATTAGAAATTGACACATATCATTGCTCAACCTCATCATGAAACACATCACGAGTCAGTAATGAGCAAGACTTCCTCTTTAACTCAGCTCTTACTCTTAACTAACCGATCTAAAATTAATTTATCCCACCTTTCAAGCAATCTGCTTACATCTGTGACTCTGCATGTCACCTCGATGTCTTGCAGCTGGTTGTCCTGGAGGTGTTTCTCACTGGATGCTTCTCTTCTTAGTGGTAACTGGTTGTTTGAGATGCTAACTCGGCTACATGTTAGCAGCGGAAAATAGAATTTATTCCTCTAAAATGACACACAAATAGTGCTTTATCTGTTTCAAACAGACGTGCGTAACAATTTGAATATATAGGAAATTATAAAACGTAAACTACACTGCGAGGTTTCATGAAAGCCACTGGACCGGTGGGTTTGAGCCAATGTTGTGTGTTACATCTAATGTTGTCCCCAGTGAAACCAAATACGGAACGGACCGACGTTAGTTAGACGTAGTTACATCTAAATGAGTTATTTGCTTGTGTTTGTCAAAAGCAACAACAATAATAATAATACAAATATATATTAACATAGATATTATTTTTACCTGTCGTCATGCGTTAAAGCCCTCGAAAATCATATTATACAGTTGTTAAAAAACGTTAGGACCTTATGCTTCTGTTCGAAAAAGTCTGATCTGCTGTTTAGAGTCTAAAACCTTTCTGTCATGTTGAGTGTTTCAAAATGGACATTCTCAGTTTCACAGTATCAGCAGGAGATTTGCACATTTGACAACATCAGAAAAAAAAAACAGAACAAAAAATCCTCAAAAAAGGAAGGGAAGCTTTGAATAGAGACTTTTAAGGGGGGCTGTTAAAAAAAAACTATCATCACCATTGATAACACCTGCTTTAATGGAAAGAACTCAAGTCATATTTCAAAAAGCTTCAGTGAAGTCAGTCTGTGGATCCAAAGCACTGCTCAGTGTAACACTATGTTTTGTCAATCACCTCGCAGCAGAAGATGTGGTTTGACTATTCATTTGGTTCGTTCTATTGTGGGATTATAAGGGTGAACTTCTTCCCACACCAGCACCTACATCTCTTCTCTGGGACAATTTTTAAAGGGCCTGTCACACAAATGTCTATTAAATATAATTTAAGAAAACAAGCATTTACCTTTACATATGATTCTAGTTCTGTAAATCATCACAAATGAGACTAATTCCAAGGTCCACAGTATGAGAACCAGTGGTTTAGCTGCTTGCCCTCACTATGATAATGTGGAACAGGGGTTAAGCATTGACAGAAAGTGGGATGACTGCCAAAAGCACAGATTCTCACATTTTATATTCATTTCACTCTCAAATAACTTGAAAATTAAAGAATGCAACTTCATTTGATACTAAATAAATACATAAATGAATAAATATTGCTATAAAATAAATACATATGGCCATGAAAGAAATCCTGACATTTAAAAAATGATGCAATACATATAGAAACTAATCAACACATTTTAAAAACTTATTATTTTTTTTATTTCATAAAGGACATTTTTCAAAGGACTACTTTACTTATTTGAGGGGATTTTTTATGTTATCATGCCGTAGTTATTTTACCACTCTTATTTCCATCTGTGGTATTTAAATAAGAGGAACATTTGTGAATCTCACCAAAGACTTTATCAGTGCAGCAGGTGTCCCTTCTTCTTCCCACCAGACAGCTCCCTGACATTAACCAAACCAAGAGGAAGAGAGTCAGAACTGTACCTGCAATGGGTACCATGACATAGACTCTATGTTTAGAACCATCAAAATTTTAAGAAAAACAAACAAACAAAATAAAACCCATAATGTCTCTGATCTGACCATATACAGTCTCTAGCTGCTCCACTGCTTTGGCATAACAAAGCCCCAACATTTGAACGTAACAGATAAAAATAAAAGTAGTTATGAAATAAAGGTGGCATAACGAAAAAAAATCCATATAAATTGAATAAAATTCAACAGAAAACATCAGAATTATCAGATTAAAACCTGACAACTACTGGGCCGGACTAAAGCACCAATGTGTCAGGATGCAAACAACTCCTTCACAAACAGAGAATCTATCCCTTTATCTATCTATTACATTGTCAGAGTAAAGCAAATTCGATACATTTGTATTGATCAGTATTGATTATATTGTTCAGAACATAGGCATATAGCATTGTTGTGATGATTTGAACAGATTTCTTGGGGGAAAAATTATTAGAGTGGCAAAACAATCAAATTAATACTACACTATCTATCTATCTATCTATCTATCTATCTATCTATCTATCTATCTATCTATCTATCTATCTATCTATCTATCTATCTATCAAACATAATAGAAAGTGTAAACATATAGCAGCTTTTATGAGGGGTTAAATGCACTGCTTAAAGAAAAAACAAATATCAGTCTCTATGATATTAACAAACCCAGCAGATACACGTCTGTCAGCGTGAGTCTGTCCAACCCAGTCTGCTGTAAAGCCACTAGGTTACTGTCTTAATGGTTTAGTCTGAGGAGGCTTTTTGTCTTAGTGAGTTTGTTGGTGGGCATTAAGCCCTCTGACGGATTATCTCTCTCTGTCATGCTGAACTAAGTGTAATTTGACCGGCTGTCCTTCTGAAATTCAGCCTTTAGTCTGCGAACATTTTACCTCCTGAAAGGCTTCCTGGACCGGATCGGTGCTCGCGCGCAGAGGGACAACACGGCGCTCTGCCTGAAACCGTCGTTGTCGTCATGGAGACCAACTCTGTGTACGGAAATAGTGATACCACTCAAGCTAGCAACTTTGTGAAAAATTAATGCATGTGGTCAGTTCAGTTTGCCGGTTCACATACAATGTTCTCTAAGTTATATTTTGATGCTAAATGAAAGCCTGGAGTGAGTCTGGTAAGTTTATTATTGATTTTTACCTTTAAGAAAAATGTGCTGAGGTTACAGCTAACCAGTTCATACATAAAACTAATTGTTAGCTAAGCAAAGTATGTATATGGTGTTTTGGGGAAATAAGTTTGGCATGATTACTTTCTTTATTTTGGAGTTGTGAGTGTGTTCTGACACTGGTGACAGGACACGACTTCCTCTTTACATTTTGCTCTGCAGCCATAAATATAAACGGAACTCTTTCTGTATATCAGTTTGCAGAAATAACAGTTGCTGAGTCAGTTCATTAAATCCCAACATAGATTCACTGCAGGGACTGTGGCTCAGCCTGCAGAGAATATGGATCTGTTAGGCTGTTGCTCTTTGGATGTGAATGTAAAGCAGTGTGCAGGGGGGGCATAAAAATCTCTTATACCTGAATAAATGAGATGTAAGTTATTAAATTGCTTCTCATAATTATGGCACTGGTTACTTTATCCAGAACCTTGCTGGGAGTGCAAAAAATGAGTCTATCCAAGAAAATCTCTGGTGTACATAAGAGCAGAGTCTCACTCATGCTGTATGGTACTACTACTGCAGCTGCCAACTAATCCACCATAGAAACCAAGGAAGCAACAGTTGCTTGCCTATGTCTGCTATATTTATCATATTTGCAGCTATACAGAAATGTGTGACGACTGCACTGTGCTGTGCTGGCTCCATTCTGACCTAGTGTCAGATTTCAGCAGTATGCCGGCGTCCCGTGCTTTGCTTACCACCACAACAGAGCAGTGTGCTAGTAATGACACAGTGACCGACCATTGGCCATAATTCTGTGACAGAGATCGCTGAGGGAGGGAAAACAGCAAGGACACGCTGTCTTAGAAAAAGTGGTGTGGCTGCAGTAGCCTGCAGTTTGTAGTTTAGCCCATCATCATAGAATTACTGCAGTGTACAATGATTTTTTTTTGCACATCTTGTCTAAAGTGACATGTCTGCCACTCCTAGGGTGATAAAGTAAAGGAAGAGGAGAAAATGACACTTTGCCTGTATGAGTGTCTGAGAGCAGTTGGGCTGCAGCGTCACTATGCGAGGTAGGTACACTCATCCACAAGATGTCCAAACTCACACCTGTCCAGTATTGTACTGTTGGACCCCTTCTGTCTCCTGTCTGTCAGGTTTGCCTCAGTGGGTGTTTGTCGTGCAGCCCACCTGTCAGCGCTGACCATGGAGGACTACCCCCTCCTGGGAATCCGCACTATGCAGGACAGGACTCGTCTTTTTAATCTGGTCCAGCTGGTCAAAACTGTTGACTTGGACAGCCTTGGATATGATGATGGTGATGGTTATGATTATGATGTCGATGGAAGGGATGAAAGCTGTGCTGTAGTGGATAGTAGCTTCAATCATGATGGCTGTGGAAGTCCTGATGAAGATGTAAGTGAGGATGAGAATGACGGTGGAGCTCCTATGAGAAGGCCGAATTCAACTCCTTCCACCAGACCATCACGTGTTTGCAGACGGCTTGATTTCAGTAATGAAACCGCTGATCATCACCAGGAGCTATTTTCTCGTCCTGTGAACACTGTTCATGTCAGTGCAAGTCATGATAGAAGTGAGGAGCCAGTCCAGGGAAAAGAATCAGCCAAACCTGTGCAGCTCGAGCTTGAAGGTGGAAGAACTATGACATGTGGCTGCCATGGGAACAACAACTACAAGCCTTTTGTGCATAGTTGTCCATCTGACTGTCACAAGGGAGGAAACACCAAGCCAGACGTCACGGGAGGGATTTCCATGTACAGCTGTGACACCAGATTACCATCAATGTGTGTGTCATTTCACCAACGAAAATCCAGTCTTGTAACAATGGCATCAAAGACATTCAACAACAAACCATTTGGACACAAAGACAGAAAAATAATCTCTAGGAAGCAAAATCCCTGTACAGAAATGGGCAGTAATGGGGTTATTGGACACATGGTTAAACCAACTCCTGTCTATGAAGCAAAGAGAACAGCTGGCTACAACTACGGACTACCACTAAATTCCCCTCATGCTCTCAACAAAAAGTGAGTAGCGGTTTGAATTGCCCACACTGCTGGCTTCTTAGCTGCAAATAAATATCTCAATTAAAACAGCAATATGTTATTTGAATTTGAGCATAAAAGACTTTAAATGGCGCAAAACACTTACACAGGAACACAGCTTTAAAAATAATTTCCACACTCTTTAATGACTGCAGCTATTTACATTATATAGTTCGCATGTAAGCATTGTTTTCTGTGGACTTGATCATGCCAATTTTGACTGTAATGTGTGTGTTTGTGTGTATCAGGTACGCCGGGAAGCAGCGGATTAGTGTGTGTGTGAGAAAAAGACCTCTGACACGTGCAGAGAGCAGAAGAGGAGAGGCAGATGTTGTGACAACTCCAGGTGGAGAGTGTGTGATTGTTCATGAAGGCAAAGAGGCCGTGGATCTCACACAATACATACTTCAGGTACATGCACAGAACAGAGACAATGACAAATCACTGTAATATAGCACAAGTTCCATCACTGGAATGCTAAGGTGGATTTATACTTTTAGGCCACTTTGTCAGGTCATTACTCTTGTTTTTTTTTTTACTCATGCCTTGCCTCTTGCTCTTTCTTGTCCCAACAGCACAGGTTCTACTTTGACCAGGTTTTTGGAGAGGAGAGTTCTAATGAGGAGGTGTATCACAGAACAGCATATCCTCTGGTGCAGCACATGCTCAGCGGGTAAGTTAACACCGATGTAACTCACTTACAGAAGTGTGTATGTTGTCATCATGCCAGCTTTTCTGTCCATATGAGTCCATGTTAGAGCTTGGAGCTCATGTTTTTTTTTTTTGCTCTTTGTTTCAATCTGTGTCTCCCTACTCCATCTAAATGTTTGTCTTGTGTGTGTCCATAGAGGCAAGGCCACCTGCTTTGCATATGGCCAGACAGGTGCAGGGAAGACTCACACAATGCTGGGTTCATCTCCCAGGAAACCGGGCTTGTATGCTCTGGCAGTTCGGGACATTTTTGCTCACCTGGCCACCAGACGCACTCACTCATCCCTGCTGGTGTATGTCAGCTTCTTTGAGATCTACTGTGGTCAGCTGTATGACCTGTTGGACCACAGAAAAAGGTCTGTGTTTTGTTGTGTTGTGTTAAAAGAGCGTAATAATTTCTGAAATGGAGATTGTACTAAGGGAAGACAGAAAAATAGTATGTGATTTAAAAAAAAAAAGATGAAATCGTCTTGACTTTAGCAGCTTAGCTTAGCCACCATTTGCTATTTACCTGATTAGAATGAATTTTATAAGATATGTTTTAAATTTTAACTTATTTCCTGAAGCTTTCCCATTGACATTATTAATGGTTTTGTCTTAAAAATTACTGTCGTCTGGATATTGTTAAAGTTTGATTTGAGTTTCTTCTCTCTATCTTAATCTTTCACTTTTTCTTTCTTCCCACTGGAGGTTATTTGCCAGGGAGGATGGACAGAAAGTGGTTCACATTATGGGGCTGCGTGATGTCAGAGTGGACTCAGTTGGCTCGCTGTTGGAGGTTCGACCCTTTCCTTAAAATTTAGATCATGCAGCTACTGTTGTAATGAGAACACCTTAACCTTTAGAATACATTAATACAAAGACTTTAATTCCAAAAAAGACATTTAAACACACTGCAACACTTATGGTAAAGCACAAAAACTGTCATTCTGTTCTGTAATATTAGTTTATTAATGAGGAAGCTGTAGAGGTAGATGGGAAACAAGAGAAGAGTATGACATCAAGAGGTGCATATATGGGCGATGCACTTTAATGAGTAGGCTCTAAAGAGGCCCCAAATCATCTTTTTTAGTTGCAATCACTTTTCAAATGTTTTTTTCCTGAAAGCATCTATTGTGTTTTCAGGTGCCGAATGTTAAGATGAGTACAGCATATGCTAAAATCTAATTTTAACTGTATCACGGCCTTGTGGTCATCTTATTGTGTACGTTCATCTTCATAGATGTACCAGAAGACTTTGCAGAGCCAAGAAAACTCTAAGAAATAGCAAATTCTAGGATTTTTCTCATTTGAAGTTGTATCTATTGTAATCTCTTTAAACATATCTCCATATATTTGTTTCTCACCTTTCTGTCACTTTCCTGTATTCTTTGCTGCTCTTACAAAGGTGATTTCACAGGGCACAGAGGAGCGAACACAGGGGATGAGTGGTGTCAATCCACTCTCCTCTCGTTCCCATGCCTTGCTTCAGATTCAGCTTCGAGACCACAATCAGCAGATAGCGGGCAGGTAAGTGACACCAAATCTGTTTTATTATATTGTTGGGTTAGGGTGTTCATACTTTGTGTCTTTTCTCCATGAGACAATAGTAGACTGATCGACTCGTAGATCAAATAAGATCAATATAGTGTAAAATGAACTAAGAAGCGTGTGTGCTTGTGTGTTTGCATGTAGGATGTGGTTCGTGGACCTTGCAGGAAGTGAAAGGGCATCAGATGCCAAAGAGCCAGACAGGCAGAGTCGTATGGAGGGAGCTGAGATCAACCAGAGTCTTTTGGCTGTAAGCTGTGCAGATACAGTCTCACGCAGTCAAATATCTCAAATAAAACTCAAAGACATTTATGAACGTGTGCTCTTTCTTATTTGCTTTTTTTTTTTTTTTCCTCAGCTAAAAGAATGCATCCGGTCCCTTGATCAAGAGCAATCACACACACCTTTCAGACAAAGCAAACTTACCCAGGTAGTAAGACTGACGTAACTTGTCGTACAAGTGTGCATTACTTTCATGGCTGATTTTCTTGATTTTCCACTTTGAGAAATAAACTGTCGTGTTTGATTATTGAACTACTTCATTCTTGTTCTAGGTTTTGAGAGACTCGTTTGTTGGTGATTCAATGACATGCATGATTGCCAACATTTCACCTGGTCACACAGCAACTGAACACACACTGAATACACTGAGATATGCCGATCGGTAAGTGCTTTGTGAGTGTGTGTGTGTGTGTGTGTGTATCGCTGGAAATACTTAGGCCTCTTGTTTTAATTTATATGACTTTGTTTTTATTTTAATCTTGCTCCCACTGTACTGAACCTCGGCTGTGGTGACAATGATCACTGTCTGCTATCTAAAACGACATGTGTGCTTTATTTGTAGAGTGAAGGAGTTGAGGGGACAAGGAGGACTTAGAGGAAGAAGAAGAGGCAAGACAGTGCCCTCCCCCAAACATAACCTGGCAACCAACAGCAGCAGCAGCAGCAGCAGCAGCAGTGGTAGTAATGCTGGCCTCCGAGGGAAAAGCCCCCCTAAAAAGCCAAAGTTAGGGGGGCAAAAGGATTATTTTGCTCCCACCACACCTACTGCAAGGTTACCTGCGGGGGGCGCAATTCTCTGCTCCACACCGAAGAACAGCAGGTGTGGGAAGGACACAAATGCAAGGGGCAGGAAAGGGATTGGACTTGAACATGTCACACCAGTTGGAGGTTGGCTGAGAATGGGTGACAAGAGGCAAGAGACTAAGGGAGCAGGTGAAAGAGAAGCTAGAAGAATAGAAAATGTGAAGTATGCAAGTATTTGTAGTCAATCTGTAAGTGAGCAAAGTGCCAGGCCAGAGCTGGTTTTGGGACAGCAGGTTCACTCATGGAAGGTGCATAAAGCTAAAGCAGCCCATGAAGATGACTTTTTATCTGGATTCTACAACGGACAAAACAGGAACCAGGAATGCACTTTGAAAGGGGGAAGAGGAGAGGAAAGACAATTGGAAGAAATAAGAAAACAAGTCAAAAGCAGGAGAGACACAAGTAGTGGAGCAGAAAAACTCAGAGTAAGAGATTTACAAAAGGCTGATGAAAGGGATAAGGAGAGGGCGAGGCATCTGAGAAGGTATCATGAGCAGCTGCAGCAGTTTATACCCTCATCCACTTCTTCATCTGCCCATCCCTTCTCACCCTCCACATCTTTCTCTTCCTCTACTCAGGGCTCTCTCACTTCTTCCGTTTCTCCATCTTCTCTCCAACACTCATCCTGCCTCTCAGTTTCTGCCCCTGTGGATCCTGGTTTGGAGGAGGTTTTAAATGCATACGCAGCCAGGGTTGAGGTTAGGGCTGATGGTAATAGAGCACAGCAGCCGTCTCCCAGTGGTGAGATTCACTTACAAACTGAAACCTCTACAGTCTCCAATAACAGTAATGATGAGGATGCTCATAGTCACAGTGGTGGTGATAGTGAAAACTGGAGGGTATCTTGGGAAAGACAATTTGAAGAGGACAGGGGTGAAAGTGAGAAGAGGAGCTCAATGAAGGCAACCAGTGACACAAGAGTAAGGACGGAAGATGGGGCGCCAGCTGGGATGGACGGGGGACAGAGGAGGTGGGCATGGGTGCCAACAACCAAGAGAGAGCCGGCAAATAGGATGACATGTGCATTTCCAGCACATGTCCAGGCACAATTATCTTACAGCTGTGATTCAAAAGACAGAAGAGAAGTAGGCGTGAAAGGACTGGATGCCTCAAATGCCCCAGCTGATGGAGGGTGGAGTATTGAGCAAGGAGGAGCAGCTGACAATTTAGTGTCTGCCCACAGCAACAGTGACAGCAACAGCCTCTTTAACCACTCTGTTTTTCAGTCACCCCATCAGCGAGCTCCTGCAGAACGACCCTTGTCCCCGGTCTGCCAACATACCAACACATTCCAGACCCCAGACGAACTCAGTGATGTCTCACTTGAACTGAAGTGCGCTGAATGCCCTACCAACACACTCCCTCTACCATTGCAAAATAACCCAGGGGCAGTGCCATCAAGCAGCCACAGCAGAGAGAAGGAACCATGGTTTGCTGCTAATGCCAACAGAAGACATTTTTTACGTGCTCAGTCAACTCCATTGCCTCTCACGTCTTCCATCACGCAGATTGGATGGAAAACACCAACTGAGCCCCTTAGCAAACTACCTGAAAATCCATCTTACACTCGGGTTCAGAACTGTCCAGACATCAAAGATAAAATGTCTGATTTACCTCTACAGAAGACTTTTGCAGATTCTTTGAGCTCCATCATGGACCCCCTTAGCATCTCCCTGCTTCAAGTGGACCAACAGGCTGCCACAGTCTCGTTCCTCAAAGGGGACAACAGCAGCGCCTCACTCACAAGTGTGGAGATGGTAGGCAGAGTTGGAGAGGATGAGGACGGAAAATTTCGTCTGTCTCTTTTGGAGCTGCCACAAGCAAAGGCCCACCGTCCTGCCACATCTGAAATGGCCAAAACCCAAACAACACTAGCTCTTGGCAATAAATTCCCAGAATCCCCACTTAGATCCTCTACATGTGATTCTATGCAAACTCCTTCCATGTCTCCCTCTGTCCAACACTTTGGGAACACTACTTCACCCAGTTTACACAATCTGGGGAAAAATGCTACACAAATGGTACCAGAACATGCACTTAATGAGCACATAAACGGACCATCTGCAATTACAACACAACAGCTCGAAAGTGTCTCAGGCCAGTTGGACATAGTGCCAAGCCAGTCAGTCACGGTTCAGTCAAACCACTCCAGCAAGTCAAACATTTCACTTCAACAAAACAATCCTACGCAGTCAAATGGTCAAGAAAGAATGAGCAATCAGCAAACTAGACCAACCATCCCTCTGTTTACGTTGGACGACTTAGACCATGCCAAGTAAGTGCCAGAAGTCTCACTCTTTTGTTAATCAAATCATCCAAAGTTATACTGAACATGTGTTAATCCTACAGCGATAATATAGAACATTTCCTTTTGTGTTTTAGAATAATGGAGTAATCATGAACAAACTCTACATTTCTATGTTTTTGCTAACCTGTCTAACTCCAGGTGGTGTATAGTTGAAGCCCACTGGGAGCAGCTAAAAGAGATGGAGGCTTTATGCCGTAAAGAGGGGAAGCTTCTGTGTCAGCAACCTGATATGGTGAGAATAAATCAAATCCACCATTGTTGGATCAATTAAGTCCTCTTCATTTCTTTATACGTACAGCACACTGTCTGTCCTCACTCTTCCGCAATCATTGTCTTACAGGCGTTTGGGGAGTATGTTCACAAGCTGGAGGAAATCATGGAGAGAAAAGCTTGGTGTGTACGCAGCATGAGAGCTCAGCTGCAGCCATTTCTGATTCCCATTCAGTCTAATCACGCACAAGACCAAGGAGGAAACGGTCATGAGCCAGTCAATTTAATGATACAAGTCAATAAGCAGGAATATTCACATTTTTAGGTACAGCCCATACATACATAGACAAATTCCAGTTATTGGAAGCCATTCTGTTTATGAGTACACAGCATGATTTCAGTGACAACACTACAGAGTGGGTTAGACATGTTAATAATATATGTTTTTAATGTTTAAGTGACCTATGTTTTGTTAGTTATTTGGACACTGGACAGCTACCACTTGATATAAGCGACATCGGACATGTATTACACAAGGATTCTAATGGGAAACTTGCCAAAACATGTTTATCCATGTTTACAATATGATCAAATAATTTAAAGGGATAAATATATCTATTTGTATGTTTGTGCATTCTGCATACTGTTATGTGTGCTTGTTTTTTGTATTCTGTTTACATGCTGATTCAGATGCATATTGTACAGCATGCTTTGAACGTTATACAGATTTAGTTCTTTGGTACACAATTTATTAAGCTAATGGGAATATGTATTACATTACTATGATGTTTGACAGACTGGTATTAAGAATTTATTTTTTTCCAGTCATAGTTAATATGGTGAGGGTCTCTTAGTTTTAAATGATTCGTTTTTGCTCAGTTTGGTCTTGTTTGTTTTGTTTGTTGCTTAAAAACTACTAATTTCGAGCTTTTTCCATATAAATCCCATGGAAATGATCACATGGTCATCTTAAGGAATGGCCTTGGTATCGAACTCTGTCAAAGGCTTCAGTTTCCCTGGTTTGATGCTTAATTTGTGTTTTGTCTACAGCCAGTCTACCATGGACTTAGTCTTGACAAACGCGAGCCCAGCCTGATAGCTTTCTGTTTGACTATGCTCTTCACTAAATCTGTGGTCAGAACACACTGAACCAAAGATGAAACCAATATTTTGTTTACCTTCTTAAAACTTGTGTTCAGGTTGTGACAGAGGTGCTAACTAACAAGTGGCAAAATGATTTGGTGCTACATTTTAAAGATTGTAAGATTTTTTTTGTCTTATTAGAAAACAGTGTAATATATTTTTAAATTAATTTTCAGTTGATTCATTGGAGTTTAATATTGAATTAAATTTGCTTGATAATCACATAATGTGTTCTGGTCTGCGAAATGTTTATTTCCCAAATTAGATGATCTGATGATTATTTTCTGAGCTGACTGTACACAAAAATATTTAACCCAAGTTAAATTCTTTAAATGTCCTCTTTTGGCTTTACCAAATTAAAGGAAAAAAGCAAAATAAAATGTCTTAGTAACATGTTCGGACACCATGTGCTGACTGAAATCTGGTGACTGAGACGGCCATTTTCATCAAACCATTCAATGGCCATGAGTGTCATATGCATGGAGACATTGTCATCTGCATAGAGCACATCAGCATAAAAATATTTCATTTTAGCATAAAGGTGATCACTGAGAAGAACTTTACATAGCAGTGACCATTCAAACCATACCAGCAAAATGTCCTCATCAGTATACTGGAGTCAGCAGATCGCTTCAGTGGGGGGTCAAGTCTTTGGTCCTGTATCGGTCTCGCTCAAGGATATGGTGAAGCATGACTAATCTGACCATATTGCTCTTTTCCCACATCTTTGTAGACCACAGCCTATTGTCTGTGCACCACTGAACTCTCAAATATTCATTTATCTTTACTTTGATGGTTTAGTACTGTGGCCCTCCTATAATATCCTTTCATTTGTTTATTTATTATTCATTTGTTGATGGGTTTTTCTTGCTGCCAGTCTGATGATGACCTGCATTGCCATTCCAGTCATCTGAGGAAGAATTTCTCCTCTGTTTTTCCATACATATGACACTACAGTGTGAGCATCATGATCATCAAATGTGTGCTGTTGACTGCAGTTTTCAACACTATAAACTGATGTCTTCCCCTCTGATCACATATCTAAATGCAGATGTCATTTAAGCTACAATTGCTCCTGAAACACTATCCAGATGAACAGTCTTTATGACTGAAGCTCCTGCCAGCCGTAAACAACAATACATCTTCTTTCAAAATCATTTAGATCTTTTCCTCTCTCCATCTTGACACAAAATCAGACTCAACTAGGTCTGCTTAACATTTGCATACATGCCACAGACCATGATCAGATGTTCATTATGCCATGCAGTGCACCTGTTTGGAGGCATCTCATTCATTGTTTCTCCACTCATTTAATTAGTTTTTTTCTTTGATTTATCACCTGTCTTATCTATGCCATTGACAGGAACAACAAGAAAAAAAGTTTATGTAAGTACACTTCTGCTACGCTACCATCAAAACCGGCATAACTGGTTTAGTCTTAGAAAAAACGTTGGCTTTCATTTTAATCTCCCCCAGAGACACAAGTTAAATCAAAGCTCAGCCCGTCGCATTCATATGGGAAAATCCCCACATATTCTATTCTTAACAAAGAAAAATTCCACTTGTTGTCTGTCTGGACTGGGAACACATTTACGCGCGCGCTCCCAAGCAGGAACGCGCACGCCAGGGCCCGTCGTTGGACCACGTGACCGGCAGGGTGGATTTCGGTTGGCGGTGTCGGCTTCACGACGTTGAACAACGGCGCGGTGGGTCACGTGACAGCATCTGCTGCTGCTGGCTGAGCGAAGCGTGTTAGCAGGTAAACGAAAGACTACAGATTTGTTGTGTTGATAGTATTTAAAAGCCATTTCAACTGCTCAAGCGCCGTATTATGTGATTTTAAATTGGTTTAAAGCGACAAATAGACCGATTCTGAGACAGCCTTCGTCTTGTTCGGTGGTTAGCTAATTAACTAACTCGCTAGCTAGCCAGCGTTGTATCCGTGACTGCTGCATTGTATGCGGACGGGCCGTTGACATGCCGGGCTGTTAGCGTGCTGCCGATACCTGTCGTGGCTTCGTGGGCCACATGTATTTCGACAACTTTTTTCCCCCCACATTCAGTTCCTTCAAGTAAAATATCCAACACCGACTGTTGTAAATAACAACGAAACACACGGCGCCTTTTCGTTTCGTTTGAGTTGTTAGCCCGTTGCTAACGTTAGCTAAATCTACCACTGTCAAACATTAGCCTTTCTCTTGGTCTACACAAAGGGGTTCATTACCGCACTTGTCACATTTGTTTATTTTTTTGTTCTTGCCTCGGTGGGGCAGTACGAAGAACGATCATATTTGCAGACAGGCTAGCTGATCGCACGGTTACGCAGCTAATTCCTTTCCAGCAGAATATGGCTTTTTAAGGAGGAGGAATCGTGTGGGAATCGCACACGGAACAAAGACGAGCGGTTAGCCATGCTACAGCTATCGTGAGCTAGTTGACCTAACGTGAACGTCAGCCACTGTGGCTCATGTTTCCGTCGAGCGACCTGTAACATTCGCCTAAATAAGACTACCATTCAGTCATCTCTTACGTTACAAAACATAAAACAGTAAATACATTGTGTATTTACCGTTTATACATTTAATCGTTCCTTGCTACCTAAAGCTAAGCCTGTTTCCACTTGATAAACATTAGTGCGATCACAGCCGGTGAATCTTATTCGGGATCCCACGCTGACAGTTTGTGGGTCGGTCGCAGTATTATTAGATAACGACTTCTTTTTGTTTCCTGGTATACATCACGAGCTCGTTTGTGGTTGCTTAATATATGTATTCACATGTCATTTGCTTTAGCTGTATTCTCGTATTGGATGGTGGGGAAAGTGTTCATACGACCAATAATATAGGCTGGTGCATACTGACGGTGTTTTTGTGTGAGGGACTGGGAGAGAGTTGTAAGTTGACACCCGGACAGTCCCCTCTTGGCTGTCTAAATTTAACCGGGGATGTGGGGAGCGACAGATGGGGGTTATAGTCTTACATGGTATACTTGACAACAGTGAGTTTCAGTCTGCCTATATTCAGTGTACAGTATTTGCGTTGCACATTTTTTTTCAGTGTTGTGTTTTGGTAAGAAACTATGATGCGATGTACCCATGTCACAGACTGACTTTGCTTGTGTTCCCTCTCTCCTTCTCCTCCAGATTTTTCTATTTTGTACATACATTGTTTTGTATATACTGTATATGATGACTTCAGTGGTCAGCAATCAAGCCCGGGGGACTCGGGACAAAACGCTGCCCACCACCACACAAACAACACAGCCACAGAAACAGATACAGGTGGGGTTTCACCGTTGTACCTAAAAGAGTTAAATCTTGACCTAAGATATTGCCTTTCTCAGTCAAAATATAGTCTGTTGTTGTAGTGCAATGAAAGATTGCCTCATGTAGTACTGAACATTATCGTGCTGACATTGAAAGTAAAACATGGAAAGAATGGAAAATGTATTTTCACAAAAGGTTGTAGTGTTTCTAGTTAAAGTAAATAATTAAAATCCAGTGTCTTGTGGTCTAATGTTTTGCTTGAATACAAAAATGAGGCCAGGTACCATTTGCTCCTGTCATGTTTCTCACTGAGCTTTGATTGTTTACCAGGCCACAGCAGAACAGATTCGTTTAGCCCAAATGATCTACGACAAAAGTGATGCCGACTTTGAAGACAAGGTCAAACAGGTAATGTATTTGTGCATATATACAGAAATCTAGAAAAAAAAAACCTCTGAACCAACAGCATACTTTTTCTAGAATTTCTGAACATTGGGAGCCTTTAGTCACATGTTGTTCTTCTGTTTTGCGTTTTCACAGTTGATTGAGGTAACTGGGAAGACCCAAGATGAGTGCATGGTAGCCCTCCATGACTGCAACGAGGATGTAAACAGAGCCATCAATTTTCTGCTGGAGAGCACCTCTGACACAGTAAGACCGTACACACGTGGATAAACCATCTTCATGAACTCATTTTGTGCTTGTGTTTACATGTCTGATGGCTATTCCTTTCTGTCATGGCAGAGACTAAAACATAGTGAATCATGCAAAATTGTAATCAAACGTAGGTGTATTTTGTCATGCCAACATCACTGTCTTGTTGACCTCTGTCAGAACTCCTGGGAGACTGTGGGGAAGAAGCGTAGCCTTGGAAAAGAAGGTGGACCCTCAGAGATAAAAGAAAGCAGGGAGAAGAAAGGAGGAGACAGGGAGGTCAGTCGTGGACGTGGGGGATCCAACAGGAGGGGCAGAGGCATCAGTCGAGGGCGTGAAGGTAAAAAGACTAAAGATGTGTTTGTCATAAGGGATGAAGTGGGCTGAGTGTACTTGCATATATCTGTTAAAGTTGTTTTGTGCTTGCTGCATCTATGATATTGAATGGTTATTTTCAGGATTTGTGCTGAATTGAGTATTGGTTAAGAATTTTAAAATGTTTTTCTTTTTCTTGTTGGATTCTAGGTCGCTTAGAGGAGAATGGGTTTGAGGTGGCTCCTGGAGATAAAGGGGGAGACCGTGGACGCAGAGGGCGCGGCAGAGGTGAGCATTACAGAGAATAACACGTCAACTTTCAATTTTATCAGATGCATCCAAATGATAAGTTGGATTTTGTGAAGATGGTGGGGGGAAAAATATAATTGCAATTAGCAGTTCCACATTTACCAAAAATATACTTTTGCCTGTTATCCGTGATTTCCAGATAGGAAATTGGCTCAGATGTTATTTTGCGTGTTTTGGTGATGTAGCTGGTGTGTCTGTATTGAAGTGTTGCACATGTGTGGAATGTACTCAGTTGCAGCTGCTTGAATGCATATGTGGTAGTTGTCATTGTTAGATTGGAGAAGGTGAAAAGGAGGAGACTCCAACTGAATTTTGTAGGCTTTCTTTATAACTGCAAATGATGTAAGCTGGATTAGTGAATCGAAGCATGATTGAGAAGAAATGTAGTCAGATGGCAAGGTTTTCCTTAACTGGAGAAATGGATGTGTTATTGTGTTAACCTGGCTTTAACAATAGCTGATGATGTGTTAAGTCAAACAACACAAGTTTAAGATATTTGTTTGGTCAATAACTTGTTTTTTGGGCTATTTACATGTTACTATTACTATTCCCTGCTTGGCACATGTTGGTATTTTATGAAATCTTAAGTTTGTGTGATTTCTTTGTGGTGTAGTTAACAGCTGATACCATATTTTAGCAAAATTCATAATGTCAGAAACTATAAGTAGACACACATGCAGGTAT